ATAAGCCATATAAAACACCATTTTTTCCAACAGATGGTGCGGGCGCCACAACATAGACCGTTCCCTTGGGGCAGACCGTGATGTCACGACTCGGGTACATAACTCTGGTGCGTGGGCATCATTGGTAGTTACAGCAAGTAACATTTGAATATTTGACCAAGGGGGAGTCAGAATTGCTCGTGGCCATTGCTTAGCGGTTGAGTGGAAATAATACTCCGCGGAGAGTTACTTAAACTTATCTGATAAATTAAATCTATCAAAATTTAAAAAGAAAAGTGGGCATTTTCCTTATGATGAAATATTGCTTATGTTTGTCATTTTTATTTATTTATTTATCTATTGTTATTATTTTAACTGTTGACATTTCTATTATGCTTATTAAATGCTGCTTATTATTCTATTATTACACAATATTTATTATTTGTGAGTATTATTATCGGGGTGGGTATTTTCGGGTTGTAGTATCTTATTGAACTCGTCGCTCATTGGCATTCCCATTGCCCTGGCGTTTTATGCCAGGTACTGAAGAAACTGAAGGAAACACCGAGGTGTTGGAAGGCAACATTCAACCCTGGTTAGCTTGAAGCGTGCCAAGATTCCATGAACCATTTTTTTGAGTTTTCTAGTTTTTTTTTTCAGTTCTTTTTATATTTTTGTACTAAGACAAAGTTTAAGTTTGATTGGAGTTGTAATTTAAGAATTTTTAGTTTTCGTGTTGTTAATTAATGGATGATGGTAAATTTGGTGGCAACATTGATGATGATTCTTAATTAAGAAAATTGATTTTAAGTTTTAAACCCTATCATGATGCCCTCAAATTTTGGGGCGTCACATAACTCGCCCAAACTTGACAGAAAAATAAGGCACATGAGAGCGCCGTTATGCTTATATCCAGCCATAACCTGCAAAAAATGGCTCAGGTGCATGTATGGATCTGTTTTTCCGTTGTGGAGCGTAAACTTAGGCTAGTGAAAGCCCGCAAGGAGCAGTGTGGTTTCGATCTCAAAGAAAAAGGGGGTGGCGTTCAGTCGCGCCAAGTCTCTATCTAAAGGGACATGCATAGCTGGACGTGGTGGCAGCATCGCGACTTATTCACTGGTGCAACCTCCGTGGGATAGCCGTTGCAACGCCGGCACCCTCCGCGCCTCCCGTTGGCGCGCTTGTTCTTCCAAGACTTCTCTCAGGTCCTTCGAACAAGCAGAGTAGGAATATCTCGATGTCGTCAACGGACGTGAAGGACGGTAACTATTGTCTTGTGCGCAAGACTTCTTCTCTGACGGGTTGGAGTCACCAACCCCATAACTTCGGGTGACGGAGAGGAATGGTGTCCACCTTTGGTTTTGGCTGCCTGAGCAACGGGGCTAGGTGCGCTCACTGTGGTTACTCACTCCAGCAACACCCTTCCCTTTGACTTGCCGCTTTAGTGCTTCTATCTCTGTCGCCATCCTTCGAATGATGGCGTCTTGATCTCTTAGCTTATGCTCCAGGCGCTGAGCATGCGATTCTTTTCGCCACAGGTGCCCGTCGGGGCTTCGCAAGTGGTCAGTGCTCCTTGCGCGCTTGTCTCGCGCATCTCTGAGGAGCCCTCTATGAGAGGTCTCCAGACCAGCCATCGTAGGGATGGTAAGAAGACCATCTCTTCTCTGAACGGACTCCAGAGTGATATCGTCGATGACAGACAGCGAGACGTCGTCGTTGTTCGACATGGAAGATGATCAGCTTGGAAGATAAGGTTTGGTCTGTAAATCTTTTCCACAGACGGCGCCAATTGTACGAGAGCCAAATATTCGACGTTACCCGTACTAGAGGTGAGCAGCGAATATACTGATTCGCCAAAATCGATCGACCGAGCTGATTTTCCACATTTTGGACGGATGCGTGATGACGAGCGAACGGTTGCAGATTGATTTTCTCCAATTCGCCAATCTGGCAGACGAATGGCGGATTTGAGATTTCTTTAGCCGCAACCGAACGGCCAAACCGCGAGCACCTCTAGTAATTTATAAGACTTTGTATTTTCAATTTGTTTAAATATTCTGTTTGTGTTTTCAATTAAAAAAGAGTTTAAATATTCTGTTGGAAAAAAATTTTCAACTTGAATATATTTTTTGAATTGAAAAAAATAAATGTTTTATTTATCTATATGTTTTGGTTTTTAAATCTATCTCTAAAAATAATAAATAGAAAATATGATATATGCTGGTTGGTTTTTGTTTTCAAAAACAGATATAGATGTAACAATACAGAGACATACAATCTCTATTACTGTTCTTTTTATGGTTTTGGTGATTTGAATTATTTTTATATTTTAAGAACCACAGATTGTAATACTTTATGTGGATGAGGCATGCTGTGATTGTGATATTCTAAAGTTTCAAACTTTCTTACTTTGGATGAGGCATGCAGTGGTTGTAATATTTTTTTAAGTCATTGACTGTAATACTTTCTTTTTTTTTTTCTTTTTTTTTTGAGGAAGTACACAAGTTGAATTATGTTGAAAATTTATAAAATTTTAAAATGCTAAACCGATTCACATCCATCCGCCAAACCGCCAATCCGCTCAATCCACGTCCGCCAGATTGGCGAATGGATGCGAATTGATTTTCTCCAATCTGCTAATCTGGGGGACGAATGGTAGATTGGAGGTTCCGTGGCGGCAACCGACCCGCGCCCACCCCTAACCCGTATTCCTTGTGTCCAAGTTGCGCTTTGCTCCGATCGACCTAAGAACACAATGAAAGTGAGCTACTCGGCGGTGTGTTGCCGGAAAACCCCTCTGACGATCAAGTTAACACACTTTGGGGAAAAGAGAGAGAAGAAGAGAGACAGAGTGGTAAATGAATTCTAATTAGAGGATGTTCCAGACCTGAGTATGGGGGCGCAACTTCATTTATATATCTTCTATGCGCGCTTCTGCGTCCATTCACCTCAGGACGTGTGGACCTGCTCTTCTCTTCCATTCTTCACATGTCAGCGCAAATACAGCTAAACACCACCTAACAAAACCGCTAAACGGCATCATTGCGCACGGACAACACAATTCCCTTCCTGCAGACTCGTGGCGCCGCACAGTATTCTTGACCGAGCTACTTGTCCGGTTTGATAACTCTGTACTACGGCTCAGCCGAGCTTTTTAGCTACAACCGAGCAGAAGCTCGGTTTATGACGTTGGAAGGACCAATCCAATCCAACTCTGACGAGTGCACATCTCCTTCGGACCGGTAATCTACAACTGTTCTAATCTGATCGAACTAAGACCTTGATCAAACGCGCATTCAATGTCTGACCGAGTGGGGGCTCTTGACTCCGACCTTGATATTTTTTATAACCTTTAGGTTATGTTTGGTTAATGGATATGGGGAGAGATTTGGAAATGGAAATAAAATATACGTGAAATATAAATGACCACATACATTTTTCCTTCTCATTTTTAAATCTCTTTCTAAATTCAATGACCAAACACAATCTTAGGCTTATGTTCTATTTTTATATTATCTTTAAGACTAATTGATTTAATTTTTATATTAATTTAGAGACTTAATTGTCAAAATTAAAACTTTAAGGACTTCAATGAAAAAGGTGTAAAATTTTAGGGACTATTATTGTAATTTATCCTATTTATATATACAAAGAAAAACAAAAACAATGGACTCAAATGGTAGTGCTCCTGCGTGATTTTTTCTTATTTTTTAATTCAAAAAACTCATTACTGGGTGTTCAAAGTAGGAGTGACTCAGTGTTCAAAATAGCAATGAGTGAACTTGTTGAACATATGTATTAGTAGTAAAACAAAATTCAGGGTGTTTAATTAGTTAAAGAGTAGAGCCGCTACTTCACAGTGCCACAGAGAGAGAGAGAGAGAGAAAGAGAGAGAGAGAGTCTGAGATTGATTTGAAAGGAAATTTTTTATCAGGAATTTTTCTATCAGGATGTTGTTTTGCTTATTCTCAACCAATTTGAAGTAATTCTGGAAAGACAGTCGGCAAAACTTATTACGTTTGGATGGACTCCTTTTTGTTCTTAATGACGGGCAATCATTAGCATGTAGGAAACGTATTTATAGATCAACCATTAGTAATACTAAAGAGGTCAAAAGTAATTTAAATAGTGTGAAGATATAATGATAAATAATTATTTTTATTATTATTATTTTTTATATAAAAGAGATAATGAAACATTTTTTCATCCATATAACTAATAAATTATCTATGAAAGTTAGACTAATTGTTATGTAAACTAAAAATTTCAATTAATTTAATGTAATTATTTTAAAAGGGCAAAGTTTGTTATACTTTTTTTCAAACATTAAGATAGCTATGTATAATTTATTAAAAAATTAATTATACAATTGAGGAGATGCAAATGGGTCTAAGTAAAAATTGCATTAAATACAATTCTTCATTGCACCGAGGCATACAACTCACTTGGGCTTCATTGAGTTGGGCTTCATTGAGTTTACAATTAATGTTTCTATTTATTATAAATTCTCTCATGACAAGTATTGGGGAAAAAAAAATCAAAATTTGGATATAATTGTAACATTTTTGTTATTATTATGATTGGCTGACGACTAAATTTTGATTCACCATCCTATGGTTTGTAAAAAGATATTTTTTTTTAAAAAAAAGAAACTTTTTCTTTTGGTTTTAACCTCTTTAAGATTAGTTGAATCATCCTCACATTGTTAGCTTTACATTAAAAAAAGAAAAAGAAAAAGAAAAAGAAAAAGACAAAAATAAATACTTGATTGGATTATTAACATTAGGCTCTTTTTGACAAATTTGTTTGGTGAGTTGGTAAGTAAGTGATTTTGAAATGGTAAACAAAGGTGGGGTAGGTCCAATACCAAACAAGGAATGACAAAACCCTATATTTCAAAAAAACAAGCCACCTACACCCTTCCCCCCAATTTCTCTTATTACTTTACCCCCAAAATCACCCAACAACCCCATAATTAATCTATTCATTCATAAAAATTTCAAAAAATAATCATTATATTATAATTATAATAATACCCCCAATCAATTCAGACCGGCCTAGAATAGAAGAAGAACAAAAAATAAAAAAGCTCTCCTGCTCGCCCTTTCCAATCCAAATCCAAACCTAGGGTTTCAATTCCGATCCTCAAACCCTCACTGTAGATCTCGCATTGATCGTTGCATGTGTCCGATCTTCCTCCGAACCTCCATTGCTATCCAGGCACATCTTCGCAGTCTTCGCCGTCGACAATGTCGTCCCCGAAGGCCTCCCCTTCCGGTTCCGCTTCTAGATCCGAGCCTCCCAACGAACCTGAGGTAGTTCCCTCTGTTCTCACCCATATGCTTCTGATTCACTCAAATCATCGTCTCATTAACCGCATTCTAGGTTTTGTTATTGCCCATATGTTCATTTATATGTATACGTGTACTGGGCTAATTGTTTTTGTATGATGGCTGGTCTTTTGGTGACTGTAGTTCTTTTTTTTTTTTATTTTGTGTGTGTATATGTTGTGTGATGGGTGCTGCATTTTGGTTAAAGAGCTAAATTTTGGTGTTGGGTGCGTGTTTTGTGCGTTATTAGGGAGAATTGGGTTCTGCATTTTGGTTAAAGAGCTGAATTTTGGTGTTGGGCGTGTGGTTTGTGGGTTGTTAGGGAGAATCAGGTGCTGCATTGCGCTTGAAAAGGTTGATATTTGTTTTTTGTTACATGATGTTGCTTTGGATGGATGCTGCATGCAAATATAAGCAGCTGATTTTTGGTGTTGGGTTCATAATTCATGGATTGTTAAGATAAATCATTGCAATCTTGGTGGAATGCAGGAAACTATGGCGCGTGCATTGAACAATTCCTAAGCTAACTAGGGAATTCTGTAGTATATGTGCATGTGTGTAAGACAAGGCATGGGTAAATTTTGGTGATGAGTGCGTGTTTGATAGGTTATTATGGAGATTTGGACACTGCATTGTGCCTGAAAAGGTTGATATTTGTTTTTTGTTACATAATTTTGCTTTGGATGGATGCTGCATGCGAATGTAAGCAGCTATTTTTGGTGTTGGGTGCATATTTCATGGATTGTTAAGATGAATCATTGCAATCTTGGTGGAATGCAGGAAACTCTGGCGTGTGCATTGACCAAATACTAAGCTAAATAGGGAATTTTGTAATGTATGTACATTTGTGTGTGTAAGACATGACATGGTAGCTTGTGCACACGTTATTTATTGCATTGAGTGGAATGCAAAATCCAATACATGTAGTTTGGACAAGACTTTGTTGAGTTAAATGGAGTGAAAGTGTACTGTGTAGATGACATGACATTGTTGGGCGAGGCAAAAAAATGGGCTGTTACTAGGGCTGCTCATGGGTCGGTCAGCTCAGGTTTACAGGTCGAATTGGAGATATCTGTGACCGATGCCGACCAGAGTTTTGTTCTAAGCCGACTGCCTCTCTTGTTTGGTCGGCGGGTTGGTTTCGGATGGTTTCGATTGACCCGTTTCCCCTCCCATTTTAAACCTTAGCATATACATACATATACGTATATATATTGAGAAAATGCCAATCAAAAAAAAAAAGAGAAAAGAAAAGAAAAGAAAAGAGAGTAGAGAAAAACCAAAAATGCGTGATAAAGACCTATAAGCTGTAATACGATGGCTCTCATTTAGATCTAACAAATCTTCCAAAGGCATAATGCTTTCCTTTCTTTTCCTCTACTGATAACATCTTCAAAGATGCAAATTAAAACTAATGTCTCCGGGCTTGAGAAGTTGAGAGACAAAGACCGTTGAGAGGAATTTTAGAATTTTGGAGTTCAAAGGTCTTGATTTGTTAGGGTTTCTAGTAGAGATGATGGAAGAATTAATGACGAATAGAATACACAAAAGAGAGTGATGCATTGAATTGGAGAGAGAGAGAGAGAGAGAGAGAGAGAGTTGAATATAGTGATTTATTGAATTGAATATGGAGAAAGTGAATTGAATTGGAGAGAGAGAGAGACAGTGAGGGAGAGAAAGAGATGGTGATGCGATGAATATTGAGTAGAGTTTGAAATGAAATAATGAGTTGGAGTGATTAAGGTCAATCTATGTTACACGGACTCGGGTACGGGTGTCGGATAGGGGTATGTGTCTAAGTGTCAGATTCGCTTATTACTAAGAGGTGAGGGTACGGGGACTCGGCTAAAAAGTGTCCAAAAAAGTAGATACGGATTCAGGAACACGACACATGAAATATTAGTTTTTTTAATTTTTTGACTTTTTAACTAATTTTTGATGGTTCCCAAATGAACCCTAAGTAAAATTATTTTTGTATTTATTTTTGTTTCTAAATATAATAATTTTTCTTTATAACCATTGAATTTTATTGTAGAAGACACAAATAGATATAAATTCTATATAAATTTAATTTTTTTGTATTTATTTTGTATATAAATATAAAAAAATTAGAATGTATATACATTATTTGTATGAGTAATACCAGAAATACTTAATATTTTATTTTTTATTAACATTATCATATTTTGTAGGTCTCAGATATCATACAAATAATAAAAAATAATGCCTAATTAGTACACATTAATGTATGTTTGGCAGGGAAAAGATTGAGTACACAACTAACCTTTGGCATAATACATAAAGTGATGGTCCCAAGACTTGAACTCATAACCTCAAGGTTATTAGGCCAAGTCTTAAGTATTGAACCAATGGTCACCCCTAAAAATAATGTCATACAAATAATATTTAATAAAAATATTTTTAATTTATGTATATAAGCTTTTATTTTTATTTTTAGTTCAACATATATATATGTTATAATAAATGATATAAAAGAGAGAGACATAAAACAAGAGAGAAGAGGAAAAGATTAATCAAATAGAGAGAGAAAACGAGAGAGATAGAATAGAAGATCGAGAGATCGACAGAGAGAAGAAGAAGATCGAGAGATCAATAGAGAGGAGAAGACAGATCAAGATCGTGAGTGAGAAAGAAAGATTGAGATGGCGATGGCAATTGCGATCGCTTCCTTCTTTGCTGTAAGTATCTCAAAAAACCCTTCTTCACTCTTCTCTCATGTCAGGCGTGTCCGAAAAATCCATGCGAGTCCGACACAGATCTCACACCTGCACCTATGTCATGTCATGTCATGTCGATATGGGTACTTTGCCCTAAACCGACGAGTCCATATGACAGAGGGGTCAATATAAGTTGGAGTGATAGAAGTCAATGTCTTGGGAAGGTAAGGGCATTATTACTAGCCCATCAAATGGCAACACGTGGATATATCTATATATATAAAATACGGTCGGATTGAGTTAAATGATTTCGTTTGTACTAAAACCAGTACTTGACCGAATCTGAAGAAAAATTGAATGATTTAAACCACAGCCGACAGTTGAAATCAACAAAACCGTCTGTGATAAAGATGGGTCGGTTGGTCTGGATCAGATTGATCTGGTAGTCAGTTATTTGAACACCCCTAGCTGCTGCAGTATATTTAAAACAGCTGATTGGGTTTGGATTTAGTATTAGTGGATATGGATAATCATTATAGCTTTAGTAGAATTCATTGAACGTGTTACCTGCATCAAACAATTCAAAGCCGGCTCACTTTGGTTAAATAATATACTTGGAGGATGATTCCATTTTGCCATAGGTGATTGGAACATTGTGCTCTATTACCCCAACCTTTGAATATGGTAATGCCTGCTCACTTTGGTTGTAGATACAGAAATTTTTATTGCAACAGAAAATAAGGAAAAAAATTTCAATATGAAATAAATGAAAAAATTTCACTCCATAATATGAAATGGATAGCAATATTTGAGTTGAAAGTCCATTTTACTTTTCTTTTTTCTTTTTTTCTATGGACTAGCTAGTAGCTGGCCTTAAGGGCTGGCTTGTAGTGGAATATACATGCTTTGGGTTACTAGCTGAAAGATGCTGATACAATTTTGTCAGGTTTTGTTTTATCAATTTTGTTCATTACATACAATTTTCATCTGCTATTTTTCATATTGCTTTATTGCTGGTTTGGAACAGAATGCAAGCTTATGTTCATGCATTTATTACAAAACTACAAATAGTTCTTCAACCTCCATCTTTCTTTCTTTCTTTCTTTATTTTTTGCTAGTTTTACTTTTACTTTTACTATTTACTGGATTATGCGTCGTTTATAATCTTTAGTAGCATAACTCCTGTTTATTTTTCGCAGATGGAAGGGAAACAAGAAATGATTCCAGCTCCTACAGAAATTTTATCAGTTATTGATTCTTTGAAAAAACAAGTTGCTGCTGACCGGTGTGTTTATGTAGAGGTGCATCCTTGTGTGCAATTTTATCAGTTTAGCTACTTTGCCTATCAGCCCTGCCCTCATTATGTGTAATTATTATTTTTTTTTACTCTTTTGCCTTCAGAAAAGAATGGAAGAAAACAGGCTGAAGTTGGTTGACATCAGTAACCTACTTTACAAGTTATCACTGGAAAGACGAAATGACAAAGTAATTGGCACTGATAAAAGCATAGACCTACTGACTAAGAGGCAGAAAGATGCAATTGATATGCAAAATGGTATTGACATAAGTAATGCGGATAAGGACAGTCATAGCTCCCAAGAAGATGGCCAGGCTTCTGCAATTTTGCTAGGATCTAGTATAGCAGTCAAGAATGCTGTTCGCCCTATCAAGCTCATGGAAGTGAAAAAATTACCTCCTTATACTACTTGGATATTCTTGGATAGGTACATTAAGATTGCTTATGAAAAAAAAAAAAAAAAAAAAAAATTGATTGAAATGCATGCTTCTCTCATTTATAAGCCTTACATTACATGTGCTTTCTTTTGTTTGCTTACATGATTTTGTTTCTTTTAGGGACCTTATTTAACATGATTCTTGAAATTTTGGATCTCATGCATGTCTGCCACTTATAAGTATCAAAATTTTGGAATTAGTTTTGTATTCGTTATAACTTTGCTTAATGAACTCCTCCTGGGTCGTGCTTAGTGCTTAATCTTCTATATAACCAACCGGTCCCAAGCCTAGATAAACGAGGGTTGTGTGGTAGGTAGCCTGACAACCATCATGTAAAAATTTGTGTCAGATTCCTTATGAACATGAATCCTAATATGAATATGCAAGTAAATACTACGGCGTTCCCTGTAAGCGATGCGCTGCACATGCTTATGCTTTTTGACTGTTTCGAAAATTGGGCAAGGGATGTCGCCTCGGCTCTTGGGCGTGGTGAAAAATGGGCGAGGGTTCGTGTTTTCTTGGACAAGTGCTGGTAAATAAGTTAGTCCTGGATTGTAGGTTTAGATTAGCAATTTGAAATATAGGAACACTATCAAGTAAAACTATGGAATTAGTAGATACCTAAGATGCATGGATGCAAACACGTGATATGACACGAATATGACACGGACACGCCGACACGCTAATTTTCAAAAAATTCAAGACACAACACATGGGGGACACTCATGAAATATATAATTTTATATATTTATTATATGTTATATATATGATTATATCATTAAAAGATAATAAAAAATGCAATATGACACTAATCCCTATAAATTTATATGGTGTTTGTTTTATTATTGTATTTTAAATTATTTTGTTCAAACGTATAATTAGTTTTACATGTGTCTAATCGATAGACATGTGTGTTTGAGAGATACACGCGTATGTCTTCCAAGTGTCCAAAGAATATCCGGGTCTTTAAAAAATAGGATACGTTTTGAAGAGTATTGGACACTTGTCGGGGAAGTGTCCAAAGAGTGTCGGTATCCGATACGGACTCGACACGGATACATTACCTTCTTAGAAGTGCCTGTGCTTCTTAGGTAGATACTATGATTAGAAGGAAAATTAGTGTGGTATGTTTACAAGAAACTAAGTGGGTAAGTATATTTGTTTATTTATCAAAAAAAAAAGAAAAGAAACTAAGTGGGTAAGTAATAAGCAAAGGAAATAGAAAACACTGGATATAAAATTTACTATATTGGTAAAGATAGACATAGAAATGGTACAGGAATAATTGTAACTAAACAACTTAAAGATAAGGTAGTAACAGTCATAAGAATAGGAGATAAAGTAATGCTAGTTAAGCTTGTAATTGTGGAAGGTATAATTAATGTAATTAGTAATTAGCACCTATACATACTAAATAGGATTGGATGAACATATTAATGAATGGTGGACATCATGTAGTTTGTATGTTGATCATGTGATTTGTATTTTATCAACATTATTACAACTTGTTTGAGATATGACCGATTTTGTGCAGAAATCAGAGAATGACAGAGGATCAATCAGTAGTAGGCCGAAGGAGAATTTATTATGATCAAAATGGGGGTGAAGCTCTAATTTGCAGTGATAGTGAGGAAGAAATAATCGAGGACGAAGAAGAAAAAAAGGAATTTCGGGATTCTGAAGATTATATTCTTCGGTTGGTATAATTAATTTGTCCAATGTGTTTCATTAAATCTCTAGTTATGGTTCTTTTCATTCTTTTCTCATTATACCTTAAGAGTAGCCTTTCTGACAAATATTGCATCTGCATGTAATTATATATTTTTGGTGGAAACAAGAATCTGCATGTAATAGTGAAGTATTTGTTCTTGATCTTGGTCATTTGGGCTTTAATTTTGTCATTACTATTTTTATTTTTATTTTTACATTTTTTTTTTCTGTGCAGCTTTTCATGTTTGATGGTGAAAAGATTTGTGCTTTCATTTTTTTGATCCTTTTTGAGCATCTATTTTCATACTATAATTGTATTATTTACTACAAAATTTTACCTTTCCTTTTCCCTTCCCTCTCTTTCTCAACTATAAAAGTTAATGATTTTATTTTTTCCCCATTCATTGAAAGAAAATATGACACTGGATTTCATCTCAAAGCAAATAAATGATAAAAACAATGCCCAATGGAACTTATGAACTTATAGGGCAGAAACTACCCATTCATATGTAGGCATTTTCAGATCATTATTCAAGGATTTTGAATACCTTCCCCCCGAAATCTTCTCAGAACTAGTGCAGATGTGTGTCACAGACTCACATCCATTGTTTATTTTTATATGCTTAATCTAGCTTTGACATTTATATGTTTGAGATTTGAAATTATTAGTGTTGTGCTTAGGGTTGCAAACAAGCCGAGCCGAGCCGCTAGCTTCAATGGACTCTTGCTCAATGCTTATCCTGGACTTTCCAAGAGATAGAGATAAACTCCCTAAGAGTGTTATCCTTATCCATGCTAAAGTCCTTCATCATTCTAGGACTCTTGTCCCTTATCCACTTATCTCGGATTCCGATGTCTTCGGAGATAACCTCAGCCTTGTCGAGATCACCTCAGCGTCATGACCTAAACACGTGGCACCTCGACTGACACGTCGGCGTCACCTTGGCCACATGTTGGGACTCAGAAAATATATCCCCACACTTTATATATATATATATATATATATTTATGTATTATTTATTATATAAATAATATATTTATTATATAATTTAAATAAAGATAAACAAGCCAAGCTTGTTTATTAAACGAGCCTAATATTCGAGCTCGAGCTTGACTCGTTTACTAAACGAGCCAAGCCGAGCCGAGCTTGTTCATGAACAGCTCGGTTCATTTGTAGCCCTAGTTGTGCTATCTGATATTTATTTGTTTCTTATTAACACACTGCATAGACAACTAAATATTTGTGAATGTTCTTGCAGTTCCTCTTTTTTGATCCCTTCAATTTTGTTTTTCTAGAATGACCATCAAAGAAGTTGGTTTGTCTGATGCTGCATTGGACGCACTGGGACAGTGTTTTTCCAGAAAACCTTCTGAAATCAAGGTATTCAGTATGCCCATGCCCTTCATGTGAGACTTACATTGGTCTTAATTCTAGTGTCTATTGAATAAATGTTTTTGCTTTTCTGTGGTGCTGCTCAGTCTTCTCCCATTTTTATTTAATAAACTGGTCATAGTGAAAACTCTGGTCCAGCTGTTTCCCATTTGTTTTGTGCTGGCTTGACAGAGATATGAACCACCATCAAACATCTTATACAGGAGAGATACGAAGTTCTTAGTAAGGGAGAGAATTCTGTGGAGGGCCCTGGGAATTCATTTCTTGATAAAGATCTTGAAGCGGCTCTTGATTCTTTTGACAACCTGTTTTGTCGCCGATGTCTTGTAAGCACCACTTCATGCTTTCTAATTCTCTATGTTGTTTAGTGCCATTCTCCTATAACTACCTCTGCACTCTTGCTGTTTTTGTTGGCAGGTCTTTGATTGTAGGCTGCATGGATGTTCCCAGGATCTTGTCTTTCCGGTAAGTTGGTTGCTTGATTTTGGTTATCATTGTTATAAAAATTGTAGTTGTCCGCTATTTCTGAGCACTTTTTATTCAGTAATTTATCAATTGTCAGGCTGAGAAACAACTTCCATGGAGCTTTCCAGATGAGGAAAATATACCATGTGGCCCGCATTGCTATAAACTGGTACATATTAATTTTATTCTACAGACAGTAAATATCATTTTCCATTATCTGATCCCCTTCCTTTAGATGTGATGCCATTAAAGTTTACCAATTTGCTGTTAGAGTTTTGGCATCGACATATTGTATATGATCGCTTTGACAGTTGTAGCAGGGCATTTCTCCCCTTCGAAGAATGGGTAAGAAAACTAATCAAGTAACTTCAAATTAATCCTTATTTTATTATTATTTTTTTCAGGTCCTAAAGTCTGAATGCAATGCTGTAGTGAGTTCTCCCATGCGGGTTGATTCTCAAGAAAAACCAGTCCCTTCCCCTGATGGTACCGCAGCTCAGATATCCAGAAAGAAATCTCTGGGTTCATCTGTACGACGTAAACCAAAGTCATGCCAAAGTGAAAGTGCTTCATCAAATGCAAGGAACATATCAGAAAGCAGTGACTCAGAGACCAGACCTGTACAGGACATTACCTCTACTCACCACTCTTCATCACCATCCAAGTCTAGGCTTGCTGGAAAATGTGGCATTCATAAGAGGAATAGCAAGCGAGTTGCTGAACGCGTTTTACATTGCATGCAGAAAAGGCAGAAGAAAATGGTGGCATCTGATTCTGATTCTTTTGTGAGTGGAAGTCTTGGTTCAAAAGATATGAAACTTCGACCTAATTCTCGTAAAGAAAATGAAGGTGCTAGTTCGTCTTCACAGAAACTGAAGTCGTCGAGTGCTGGAAGGCCTAGGAGGAAGGATCTCAGTAATTGACAGTAAAAAATGTGTTCAGCAGGAGGTTCCTCATGGTCCATCAATGATATAATTATTGCTCGACCAGTTTGTAATGATGACACCATGAGGAGAGAAGAGTTTGTGGGTGAAAATATCTGTAAACAAGAAATCGTTGATGGTAAATCATGGAAAACTATTGAGAAATCCCTTTATGACAAAGGTTTGGAGATATTTGGAAGGAACAGGTCAGTGACCTGAATTTATGTCGTGTTCAACTTGGTATTGTTATTGTTAGCGAGGTCCATGAGTTCTCTTATAATTGTTTATCTTGGAACTTGTTTTAATATTCTTACATCCTCTTGGATAACGGACATGATTTTTAAAAATCATCTCTCATACAGGTGTTGGCTTTCATGGCATGGAATTTTAGTTGGTTCGACACATAACATTTATCTTTGTGGTTACTCAATTCAATAACATTTGAATTACTTGAGTTTTTGAACTCAACGTGACTGCAGAATGTTTTGCGGCTTTAGTTTTCAGCAGTCAAATTGCTGCTAAACATTAATTATCTTATGTGGAGTGTTGTCCATGACTAAGTCATAAGATTGTTATCCAGTGTAGTTGTCAGTAATATTAGGTCAATGGTGCTATTCTGATGATATATGGACAGGTAGAATGTGTCTAGCCTGACTCTTTGGCCCTCTTCCCTTTACATCTTTCCCCAAAATTTGCTCCCCAACCCCTCCACCCTTTCCTATTCTCTGTCTTTCTTTAAAATTTGAACCACTTGGTTTGCTTATCTTCAAGTAGTAACAATTGCAACACTGAAATAGGACATTCTACAATGTGTCATTTGATCTGCCTGGTTAGCTTGTTGAGACTTTTATTTTTTAATGTCATACTTTTTTTTACCAAGTCTCTCAGTTCTAATGATCCAATGATTCTCAAATAATGCTCTTTATTGGTTGTTACAGCTGTTTAATTGCTAGGAATCTTATGAATGGCATGAAGACTTGTTCGGAGGTATTTCTGTACATGAATTGCTCTGAGAATAGGCTATTCTCCCGGGCAGGTGATGGTGCAAATTCTCTGCTTGAAGGCTATTCCAAGCTTGATTGTAATGAAACTATGGTTGGTATTTTTTTCCATGTGTTTTGCATGTTACATTTGATCATCCTTATTTTAATTGCTGAATATTTTATATTGTCTTTATTTTCTTGGGGTGAAATGCTCATCAGGGTAATGAAGTTAGACGAAGATCAAGATTTTTACGTAGGAGAGGTAAAGTTCGCCGCTTAAAGTACACTTGGAAGTCTGCTGGGTACCATTCAATTAGAAAACGGATTTCTGAAAGAAAAGACCAGCCTTGCCGGCAGTACAACCCATGTGGATGTCAATCTGCCTGTGGGAAGCAATGTTCTTGCCTTCTAAATGGGACCTGCTGTGAAAAATACTGCGGGTGAGTCTTCTTTTGTTTTTTAAAGGAATAAGCATTATGGTTATTTAAAATGTTTATTCACCCCCTGGTTCATGAGATAGGAAAAAAAAAAATTGTAGTTCTATTATTTGTATGTTTCTTATTCTAAATTCAACTCAACAAATCTCAATGATTTAAAAAGCCCTATTGTTTTTCTTAGATGTCCAAAGATTTGCAAGAATCGATTTAGAGGCTGTCATTGTGCGAAAAGTCAATGTCGGAGTCGGCAATGTCCATGCTTTGCTGCAGGACGAGAATGTGATCCAGATGTTTGCAGGAATTGCTGGGTCAGGTGAGTATACTGTTGTTTATCTAGATATTTCCATCATATCATTTTCTACATATTAGTGAAAAAAAGTAGATTTGGAGGCTTTATGTGCAATTTGGAAAATAAATCCATCTATGTTCATGCTGTGGGGTTTGAATTGAGGAAAATGCAGGTATTGAACTTTATGGACAATTGAATATATAAAACTGAATATGGGTTATTTACATATAGGAAAGGCCTTGTTGAAATAAATTTAGAGCCTGAGAAAAATGGGGAAAATAGGAAATTAATCCACGATTAGGATGAGATGTGGAAATAAACAGCCTAATGTAAACTCCGGCTTTGATGCATGGGTGGCTATATATATATATATATATATTTTTATCAGTTTTATGCATCGGTAACTGATAAAAACCTGAGTACAAGATGTTCCAGAGTGAGAATTTTGCTTTGAAGTTGAGCTAGGGCAATAAAAATTGGACTCTGGATTTAATCTAAAAGAAAATTTAAAAACAATATTGTCAACTGTCTTGTCTGCTCCACAATTTTGGCTTTAATTTGTAGGACTGAAGTTTGAATCTTGTAGAGTCTTGGGGATGAAATCAGTTTTGCTGAACTTGATCTTCAATGATAAAATTCATCCAAACTGAGGTTCCAGATCATTGGATTTTGCGAAAGTTTTTCTTTGTTGTAATTCGCTATTTCTTTTCTTGAGTTTTCTTTTTCCGTCTTTGGGAGTATGTTCTGTGTATTTGTGTTCTGTTCCTTAACAATGCTTAATTGTTTGCACAAATATATTTTAGAAAAAGGGAAAATTGTAGGTATAGGAACATGTCACATATTAGAATTAGATTAGATGTTTTGATTGAATATTGCAGAATATCAATTGCCTAATTACTGCAGTCACATTCTTGGCCAAGTTGGTTCAAATATTTAAATTTAAGCTCTTTTTGTTTGCAAATTTTAATGAAAATCAAATAAGTCTTACTTGTCATACTATGATACATGCACACACATACAAAATCTGAAAGTATAGATCTGTATATCGTATGGTTTCTGAGTGTTTATCTTCCTTTGTGTTCACTTTTATATAGCTAATGTCTTCGCTCTCTCGTTATATGACTTTCTGCACCATTTATGCCTTCTGAAATGTTCTTGTAGTTGTGGTGATGGCACTCTTGGGGTTCCTTCCCAACGAGGTGATAATTATGAATGTAGGAACATGAAGCTTCTTCTCAAACAACAGCAAAAGGTAATCAGTATTTTATTTTTGTTTTCCCTTTTTCTCATCGTTGTTCAGTGTGAGAAACGACTTATAGTCATTACGTGTTACCTGCCTTTAAAAACTAACTTGTTGAATAGAGAAATTCTGTGTTGAGGTGAGATTTTCAAATTTGAAACAAGTATCTCACTGTTACTAATCAAGCACCAAAACTGCAATTGTGTCTTTCTAGAACACTTAAATTATTTCTTGTGGAGGTTAGTGCCACCATAAATTCCAGGAAGGCTTTACAATTAAATAGGATTGAAAATACAGAATTTCTATCTCTCATCCATGTGAAAGGTTACAAATGTTTCTTCAACAACAATGTGAGTTTCTTGTTCTTCAAACACATTAAAAAAATTAGAGGGTCAAAGTGTCTAAATTAGGTCCGAGTGTCAGACACATCCCACATCCTTTTCCTCGTCATATGTGAGTATTTTGGAAGAAATAGAAGGGTTTATGTTACAATTTGAGAGGCTTTTCTAATTTGGAATAGTGGGATGGCCCCACTATAGAAGAAGGTGATTTCATAAATGCTACCAATTGGAATAGGAGTTCCTATTGATCATTGAGACTATATGTGGAAATATTAGAAATAATGTTTGGTCCTTGAAATTAGTTTGCAGTACCAGGATAAAGTTCGGGGCATAAAGAAGATATTCTTGTTTAATTTTTGTAGGTAAGGAGTGGATACAGGCTCTTGTATATCAATTTTCAAAAATTTTGTGGGCCCCTTTTAAAATATTGGATGTAAACTTTTTTAGAAGCTAAGTAGCAGGGACACCTCTAAGAAGGTGTGATGTCTATATCAGACACATGTTGATCACCGGTACTCGTCAAACATGTCCTGAATCATGTCCAAACATGTCATAATATTTTTTAATGTTTCAGAACTGGACACACTTCTACTATCGAGCACAAATACTTCTAATAGGGATTCGTAGCCATATCATATCTATATCGGATACTGATACTTGATATTAATTTTCTTTAATTTTTTAAAAGTATCGGATACTTTTGGGATACTCTAGGTCATTTATCCGAACTATTTTGAAAATGAGATTGTCATAATTCTTACATAACATTAGAGAAGGAGAAATTAATGAGATTAAAGTGGTACCATATTTTTACGAAATTTATCGAATTGGCATATCCTTATAAATGTGTCATATGTATCCCATATCCATATCTATGACTGTTTAGAAAGCAAGGATAATTAAAAAATATATATATGATGATACTAAAATCAGATTTCATCAGTTAAAAAGCAAGTAAACTTGCGGATAATACTTTGGAATATAACACATTTACGTATGAAAGGGGACAGTACAAGAGCAACAAAAACAGTTTAGACTTGATATTGAAATGAAATTTTCATAGGACTTCTAAAAAAAAAAGTAATGGTTGATCAGTGGCTCTTAAACTAATACATCTTAATTTCTAAAGAAGTATCCTTGTTGTACCCGTCTCCTATTTTTTAAGGTTGTATCTGTATCCATGCTTCATAACACTTCGGATACTTGAGATGTATTGTCCATCGCTTAGACACACATAAAAACATATTTCGAGTTTGAAAAAAAGAACTTGGGAGCCAATGATTAAAATCAAAACAATGTAGAATTATACCTCTTAATTCATCCTTCTTGTGGCTTTTCAATTTGAGGAACTAGTTTGTTTGTGAAATAGAGCTTTTTACGATGGATATTACTTCTCCCGTCCCAAATTGTTTGTCTGGCATGGAAAACAAGAACTTAAAAATAATACTGAAATTTTCAATTTTTTTTCACCAAGTAAAAGATATCATACCCACCCTGTGTCTTGTGTCCTATATGGGCACTGAACAAATTTAGAAGAGTCCATGTAACATATAGCATAGTTCTTTGTGACCATAGAATAATGTGTGGGAGTGTTATTATCCTTCTCCAAGCTAATGAACACAGCTCTAACATCATCTTCCAATGACAGATATCAGATATGTAATGATGATACACTGAACCGGATTTCTAATGTTGTTCAAATGATAAAAAATCATAATAAATTTTACTGCACAGTGTGTTGGGTTAGTTCAAAGAGCTTGGGAAGTTTTGTTGTTGATATTATATTACTATATCCTGTGGATCCATGGTTTTGTGCCAGCTTGCTTGTTTTCATTTTTCAGAAAACACTTTTCAGAAAATTCTACTTTCTTATTTTCCGTGTTTTTTTTGTTTTTACTGAATTTTTTTAATATTTTAAGCAATTCTTTTACTTTTTAGACACACCTAACATAAATACACTTAAAAAGTAAAAAAATTGTAAAAAAAATCTTTTAAAAATTCACTAAATACCAAAAATACAAAACAAATACAAGAATTCAGTACATTTTTTGTATTTTTATGTATTTATTAATTTTTTAAAATATTTTTTCACAAATTTTTTACTTTTTAGATACATCTAACTAAGGTGCATCTAAAAAAGTAAAAAAAATGTTTAAAATTTGAAAAATATTCACTAAAAACAAAAAGAATACGAAAACCAAAAAACTTAGTTTTCAAAAAACTTAATCTAGAAAACTCAAACCAAACACATTATTTTTTTTTAAGAAATACCATTTCCACAGCCAGTGGCTCCTTTCACAACCCAGCACTAACATTGGCCATACACATTAACGTTAGTGTGTGGATCTGTAAAAGCAACCATATGACTGTTGAAAATTTCAAATAATGGTTGTCTTTTTGAATAACTAATGTGACTGTCAATGCAGTTTGAATAACTAATGTGACTGTCAATGCAGTTGAGGGAGAAGATTATTCTTGGTCGCTATAGTGCTTTTTGTACAATTTGAAGGTGAAAAATGGATATGTAATAGCCAAATCTGGTGCAGCAATGTAACCGAATTGGCAGTGGCAGCAACTGCTGCTAAATATTTTTAACAAATTTAATGCGGGAAACTCTTCAGTTCAGCCATTTCATTGTTGCACTACGCATCATTTTCTTTGGGCGTAATTGTTGTTGATTTGGTTAAATTTTTTTTTATTGTATGTGCATAGAAAATATTTGGACAGATACTGGTTATGTGACAAAGATTGAACCAGACTCACCAATTTTTGTGTAGAAATTAACCATCTAATTTTGATGGATATCGACAAATTTATTTTAGCTATATCTTTGTAATAAATTTGGTTGTCTTCCATACTTGAGCAGGTTTTGCTTGGAAGATCTGATGTATCTGGCTGGGGGGCTTTCTTGAAGGTAAATATTACCTAATATTTGTATGCTTTTTTGGCTTTGTGTTTCTCTTGTTTGTGATTCATCTTTGGCTACTCTCCAGAATAGTGTTGGCAAACATGAATACCTTGGTGAGTATACTGGTGAATTGATCTCGCATCGAGAAGCAGACAAGCGTGGCAAGATCTATGACCGTGAAAATTCTTCATTTCTCTTCAATCTTAATGATCAGGCAGGATACACAATATGGCCTTCCGATTTGTTCAAAATTCAAACTTTATATCTTCTATTCTTTTGGATTGAATACAAATTTCTGTTTTCTGTATAGTTTGTTCTTGATGCTTACCGGAAGGGTGACAAATTGAAGTTTGCCAACCATTCTCCAGATCCAAATTGCTATGCAAAGGTAACCCATTGACTGCCTTCATACTTGGGTTTTATTCTTTTACTTGAGTTTTTCTATGAAAACTTACATTTATAAGCAGCTATGTTACATGAATTCGGTTATGAGTTTTTGGGTAGATGGGGTAAACGGGTGGACTTGGACAGGTCAAAACAGGTTATGCATTTAAATCAACTCAACCCAAACCGGTCCATTTAATATATTGGTTTTTGAGGGTTGGGCTGAATTGAATATGGGTTGGACAATATGAACCTAACAAACCCGTTTACTTTATATAAGTTGTTTTCAATAGATAGTGGTGGTGGTGGTGGTGGCCAACAGCCTCGTTCACGTTTACAGTTCTATCTCTCTCCTGTACTTTGCCTCTCAAACCTGCAAAACTTCACAACTTCACACCTTTGCCCTTTGCATAAATCAGTAGAACAATCAAGCAGTATAGTGGTTCAACCAACTTAGAGAGAAAGAGAAACAGAGAGTCTAGATAGAGAAAAAAAGTCCAGCAAGTCTCCAATATTTTTGATGCCAGAACCTCCCCTCTTCAGTGACTATGGCTTCGAAAATATTATTTTCAGATTTATTTATATGCATACATCAATATAGCACTCCATTTGTTTTGATTTTTGTGACAATATTTTTCACATTTTTCATAAAAAATAGTTTTTTTAAAAGATATTTTCCTATGGAGTGGAGGCAGTAGTGTTGGTGGAGGTGGAGGTGGAGGTGGAGGTGGAGGTGGAGGTGGGGGTGGCCGTGGAGTGGTGGCAGCAATGCTGAGTAATTAATCACTATATTGTGCTTCATATTAAATAGACAATCTTTTTGCAGGTCATTATGGTGGCCGGGGATCATAGGGTGGGAATATTTGCTAAAGAACGAATTAGTGCTGGGGAGGAACTCTTTTACGACTACCGTTACGAGGCAGACAGAGCTCCTGCTTGGGCAAGGAAGCCTGAAGCATCTGGTCCCAAGAAAGAGGACACCGCTCCTTCAAGTGGTCGTGCTAAGAAACTTGCTTAATTGATCATTTATACTTCAATCCTAAAATTCAATTTTTTGTCATTCTTTCTAAGATAGAATTTTCATTTGACTTCGAAGGAAAGGTGGATTTTTTTGGGTCATTTTGTTGGTGGAGAGGCCATTGCTGTCTCTGCTGATTAACTTATTGGAATTTTCTTTAACAATTCATGCTATTCAGTGTATTGACCAAAGCCCAATTGAATACAAGGCTTTTAGTGACTCATTATTACATTTTCTTACATCAAAATTCCCATGTAGGAGTGAAAATTGGTGGATGTGATCTAATGAAGTCTGTTTTGGGGGTTAGCTATGTATGAGAAATTGGTTTAATGGGAACAGGAGGCATTTTTATGCAACGGTAATGTTGGAGACCCTCAGTGGGGGTGACCCCCAGCGCCCCCACCTCCACGTGGGGGGCTGTGATGCAAGATAGAGAAAAAATAAAATAAAATAAAATTTCAGCCAATGAAAAACCAGTGGGGGTGCTGGGGTCACCCACACTGGGGTCCAGACCATTTTTCTTTTACGCAACCTATGTTATGCACCGAGTATATATAACATTCCGTAACAGGTTGAAAGTGGTACAAATAGAAATCTATGAGGATTTACACCCTAATATCTATTAAGTAGTATTAGTTGACCGGTAATGGCAACTGGTACAAATAGAATTCTATGACGATTTACGCCCTAATATCTACTAAGTAGTATTAGTTGACCTGTAACAGGTGCCAAGTGTGGTACAAATAGAAATCTGAGGATTTACACCTTAATGTCTACTAAGTAGTATTAGTTGAATGATGAGATTATTAGAGTGGTAGTATATTAGGTTGAAGGTGTAAATAAATTGTATTTATTTGTGTAGTAATAAGTAGTAGTAATTTATTGGGATAAATTTTATGAAATTGTGTAAAAGTCTTCATTATATAAGAAATTATTTGGTTATTTTTGTGAAGTGAAGGTAAAATGATATCTAATTATTCGATCTCGTGAAATTAAATTGTGAAACACCATAACGTCAATCCTACTCTTTGGGAAATTAGCAATTTCACGGGATTCTTGGTCCATATCTTGTTTTTCAACCAAATAAGATCTATGTGAAACCCATTGAATTTTTGTTGTGTTGTTGTTGATAGTTGAGAATTGTTGGATGCTTTGAATATTTTGTTTTACGTGCATCCCTCTATTAGTGCAACCCTCTACTTTGCAGAATCACCGACCCTCCAACCATACCACGTGAACGGCACAATAAAAAAAAATAAAATCAGTTATCACTAATAATGTGATAGTAGATCTTATCATGAATGATTTGATATTTTAATTTTAGTGTTGTATTTTTTTTTTATTATTGAGTGTCATGTCATTAGTAATTTTTTTAAAGTTCTAAAATTAATGACATCTATCATTTGTTGTAAAAAAAAAAAAAAAAAAAAAAAAAAAAAAAAAAAAAAATACGAAACAAATATAATACATCAAAAAAAATAAAATTATGATCAAAGTTTAAAGGGAGTTGATAGATATGATGGGACTACAAAAGAAAAGCCTTGTCAGAAGCTTTTTTTTTTTAAGGGTGTGAATTATTTTTTTGCCTTTTACACTTTACTCCCCGTAAATTTAGCTTCTCTCCCTCCTTCCCTCTCTTTAGTGTTTTGTTTATTTATTTTAGTTTTCATCTTGTTTTCGTTTTATTTTTCAAAAATATGAAAAAATAATAATTTGACGAGCTTATTTAAGAATTGATTATTTTAATAATTTTTTAATTTTTTTCATAATAAAACATGTAAAAAATTAAAAATAATAATATGATAATTTATAATAATTTTTTAATTTTTTAACCAAAACAATCTATTGACAAGCAAAGTTATCCCAAATAATTAATTGAATGCGAGGAGAGTTTGTCCTATTTGTTTTCGTCATCCAACTCAAATTGAACCCTTACCTAAAATGCAGTAATTCAAATCAACTTTGGTGCCTCGAACTTCCTTTGGAATGTGGATTAATTTTTTATTTTTTAACTTTTTAGTTATTTTAATTTAGGATTAAAAAGACTACTTTAGCATGATATTTTTATTTTTTTTAACTTTTGTAAGAGAAAAAATAAAATGATTATGATTTGAATATGACATTTTATATTATTAACTTTTTAGTCTATTTTATTTTTTTTAAGACTAAAATAGTCAAAAACACCTCTAAAATCCACATGTTAAACGCAGACTTATTTTTCAAGAATTGTTATTGAAATTTATAAAAGAAGAAGTAATCAGTTTTTAACAAATATTAGAATATTTTTAAATTAAAAAAAATATCAAAAATAAAAGATAAAAACAAGAAAAGTCAACCCACAACTCAACCAAGCTAATAAGTAATATTAGAAATTCTAAATATTTTATTAATATTTTTATCAAAGGACTCTCATAAGTGTAGAACCTATATAAGATCCACATAGTATAAATTCTACACCTATATAAAATAGATTAATGATTGAGGCCTCAAATTTTTTGGCTCAAATTTGCCTCGAATTTTTTTTTTTTTTTTTTGCTGGGTTGATGCTTTACTTGTTATTATTATTATTATTTTTATTTATTTTTTTCTGCAATGTATTAGCCCAGAAAAAAAAAAAAAATGCATTCGAGGCAATTTCGAGCCTCATTTTCGAGGCCTCAATCACAGCTATATTTGATAAAAATACTAATAAAATATTTAAGCCTTCATTTGAAATGTGAGTTGACTTTCTGATTTTTTAACTTTTTAACTATTTTAACTTGAGGTTAAAAAATTTAATTTAGAGTAGATTTTTTGATTTTTTTAACTTTTATAAAAATAAAATAATTATAATTTAAATGTGACGTTTTATATTATTTAACTAAAATTACCAATTTTATTTTATATAACTTTTTAAACTCAAATGAACATGCCAAACATAATCTAAGATTCTTTTAACATTTTTCAAGCTAATATCATTCTTGTATTTTGGCCGGATAATGTGGGTGCGTATGGTTTGTGTTTGTAGAGTAGTTTTTGAGATAAAAAATACGAAAATTTATTTGGTTTGCCTTTTTTTAGAAATAGTTTTGAAAAATTATTTTGGAGAGAGAGTTTTAAAAAAAGTGATTGATTTGATGTATATGAGAGAGAATGTGATTTTGAAAAGTAGATAACTAAACAAAATTTTGAAATTTTTTTTGAAAAAATTTGTTTAATTTGATTACTCTTGAAAATTTGTTTATAAAAAATTTTTCTCAAAATTTTTTCTTAAAAACAAACCAAACAGGGTCATGTTAGAAATGAAAGAACAACATAAAACTAAATAATTAATGATTAATTTAAAATATAACCACTCAATATTTCGAGATTATTGAGTAATTTCCCATTTTGGCTACATGCATGAAGACTCCATCGTTTACCATGTCATTGCATTACTCGTCAAAAGAAAAAGTTGTTATTGCAACAGTCACCCTCTCTCTCTCTCAAATTTCTTTTTCTCTCTCTTCTACCGGACTCCTGAGATGAGAGAGAGTGCTTTGATTTGAGAGTCCCCTCTCTCTCTCTCTTCTCTCTTTCTCTCTCTTGTTTTGCTTCTGCAGTTTACCATGTTATCATGTTCTGCAGAGCACCGTACACGCAGATACAGAGCTTCTGCAAATGGGTACCTCTCTCTCTTTCTTCTTACTTCTTCGGCTCTCATCCTCTCTTCCACAGCTTGCTCTAACGCTAATTGCCAGGTTCCCCTCTCTCTCTCTCTCTCTCTCTCTCTCTTCACTTATAAATGTACTTATCTACATATAGATCGGTGAAATTTCACTTTCTTCTCTGCAATTCCACTGATTTCCAACAACTATGCAGCTTCTAGACTCGTGTTCTGCGGCCACCGACTGTGGACCTGGTCTCTACTGTGGCAACTGCCCTTCAATGAGTAAAAATCAACCCTTCTGCACCAGAGGCCAAGCTACAGTACCCACTTCCATTGTAATCTTCTTCAGCTTTCTCTCTCCTTTTCCTTCGAATTCTTTAAACTTTCTTGTTTTTTCCCCCCCCAACAATTCTAGTGATGGGTTTGTGCTGTTTTTGTGTAATTTGTGATTTGCAGATCAATGGGTTGCCATTCAACAAGTATTCATGGCTTGTGACACATAATTCATATTCAATTGTTGATGCTCCGTTACTGACTGGTGTTCAGAGACTTACATTCTTCAATCAAGAGGACACTGTTACTAATCAATTGAGAGTATGCGATCCTTTTCCTCTTTTTCAACTTCAATTTTCCACTGATATAAACACAAACACACATTTTCTTTTCTTTTCATTTCTTGTCTTTTTCTTTCATGGGTTTTGCTTAGAATGGAGTGAGGGGACTGATGTTGGACATGTACGACTTCGAGAACGATATCTGGCTCTGCCATTCATTTAATGGACAATGTTTCAACTTCACCGCCTTTGTAATCAACTATCCCATTTCACTAATTTACCATTCTCAACCATAATTCTCTTTTAGATTCATAATTTTGAGTAATTTGGAACCATTAAATTGCTTGCAGCAACCTGCAATTAACACTTTGAGGGAAGTGGAAGCATTCTTAACAGAAAACCCAACTGAGATTGTGACAATTATAATTGAAGACTATGTGCGAACCCCAAAAGGGTTGATAAATTTGTTCATAAATGCGGGGTTAGACAAGTATTGGTTTCCAGTGTCTAAAATGCCCCAAAAGGGCGAGGATTGGCCCACTGTGACCGCTATGGTCCAGGAGAACCACCGGTTACTGGTTTTCACTTCTATCGCTTCGAAGGAAGCAGAAGAAGGAGTTGCTTATCAGTGGAAGTACATGTTAGAAAATGAATGTAAGTATATTATCCAATTGTGTTTATTTGTATGAGATTGTTTTTTGTATTGTTTGCTCAGTAACAATCTTGTAATGGGTTTCAGATGGAGATAATGGTGTGGTACAAGGATCTTGCCCAAAAAGAAAGGAATCACGTCCGTTGAATTCAAGGGGTGCATCTCTCTTTCTAGAGAATTACTTCCCCACAGACCCGGTTCAAGCCGATGCTTGTAAAGAGCATTCAGCTATACTTGCTAATATGGTTGGTACATGTTACAAAGCAGCAGGGAATATGATGCCCAATTTTTTGGCAGTGGACTTTTACATGGTACTGAAATTTTTTAACTTGGTTGAAAAATGAAACAAATATGAATATTGTATTCCAATTAAGCATTATGACTGGGAATTATGCAGAGGAGTGATGGAGGAGGTGTTTTTGATGCTTCGGATCGAATGAATGGCCAGGCATTGTGTGGGTGCAGTTCTGTTACTGCTTGCCAGGTGTGCTCACAACTCCATATTACTTGGATGAAATGCCTCCGCTTTCATAAAGCATATCAGTATATTAGTTTATGAACTCTTTCGCATTCTAACTTGGTGTCATAGTTTTTGATTCCCAGATTGACACTGTATAAATGTCGTTCTCCGTATTCATTTTTATATATTTTAATTTTTTTTTTTTTTGGGAAAAACAGATTCAACTTTGTTTGAATTGCATAATTTAATCTTGGATTTGGATAGTATGAAATTTTCAAATTTTTAACTTCTTTATCTAGATTTGCCAAAATTTCCAAGTTGTCCATCCAATTCTTTAGCAGTGTTAAATTAAATTTTCTTTTTTAAAAAGAGAGGAACGCAAGCAACTCTTGTTTGGGGGGTGCCCGGCCAAATCAAGATGGACAAGTAACATATAGTTGCTTTTAAATTCATTTCCCCACCTTGCTTACAAGCAAGAAAGACGCTAGTGTCAAGATGGGATGATGCAATAGGAGTTGTGTCTCAATATATGTTTTTATGAAGTTTCACTACTTGATTCTATTTGGAATTTTTTTCTTGGTTAAAATTTTAAAATCATAAAGAACTCCAAATTTGAAGAATGAATGAAATTGTTGGATCTGAGGCATAGTTAGATTTCAATAACGACATTTTTGAGTGTTTTCCCCTTTTTCTTTAATAAAACCCTGGAAAAAGGTCTCGTAATGGGGGGGGGGGGGGGGTTGTGATGAAATCTTGATTATGCCTGCCAAGGCACACAAACATAAGCTTGATTTGACAATCCCATATGATGTATTCTCTCTTCATCTGTTCACAGAATTTCTAGGTATTTTATGAAGCTGATGGTTTAGACAAGTTTGAGTCATTTTGATTCTATGGGATTTACTTGGTGGAAAGTTTTTCCATACTTCACAAAAATGATTAATTCTCCACATATGATATAATATTTATTAAATTTCACATGTTTGGTGGATTTCACAGGCGGGAGCACCTTTTGGAGTTTGCAAAAGCATTCCCGTATCTAACGGAACTCAACCAACCTATGCTCCTGGAACTTTTTCTGGATCTGTGCAGTTATCAGGATCTTCTTCAACAGCTCATGTTCCAAGTCCCATGGTTTTCTGCTTCTTCTATCTTGCGTCAATGCTGTTTCTATAATAAACTAAAATGGAGTTCTCTGAGGTAGATGGTTAGTGAGTTACGCCCTTAAGTGTGGGCTTCTAGTATGTTAGTGCTTAAATTTTGGAGGTAGAATACGTATACCACAGGCTTGCTTTGGAGAGTTAAAGGTCAAGAATTGCTGGCTACATATGTATGACATGATTGAAAAAGTGATTGAAAGTTCTATTCAGACAAAAGAAGTTGCATAGGAATTTGAGGTCAAAAGCTGCTGAAAGAGACCAAATAGATACCAGCATGTGGTTCAGGTATTTTTACGAGGCTTTACGTTGATCTTTGGATACAGTGTGCTTAATAATAATTAACATCTCATCATTTTCTCTCTTGTTATGTGTTATCATGCCTCCTAAATTTGCTTTAGATACATGTTGATCCTTTCACTTGTTCGCTGTAATGGGGCTTTATCCCTCAGGTTGTTTGGAATCTGGTTTTTGCCAAAGCTTAGTATGAAAGGCTATTTCTTTTGATTTAGTTTCACAGTTTGCTTGTGATAGTTTTTCTGTGATTTTCATACATGTAATGTAACTGTTAAAAACTAGTAGGACATGTTCTGATGTGTGGCCAATGCGTGTCAAGAGTGTCCAACGAGTACTTTACATGTTTCTTTGCTTAAAAGGATTGCTTCAAGTTGTTGCAAAATGAAGTGAATTTTCACTCTAGCGGTAGCAAGGATATCATGTGCAGCACTTGTCATCATGTACCGAAAACAGTAATATGAACACAACAGAAACCGAGAAGCTTAAATTTTTATTAAGCTTTGGACAACACCACAGCTAAAAACCATGCACTCTCAAATCTCTAATAATGAACAAGTCAGTTTTAGTCCATTGGTGTAGAATGGACTCTTGGTCACCAGGCACACAACCAAAGTTCCTGGTTTTTGAAATTTGAACATTATGTTTTATATTGGTGGTTTTTTTTTTTTTTTTTAACATCATTTACAAAAGAGATGATAACTATGTTTGTGATACAAACCTTCTTGAAGAACAAAATCGGAACATTATGTTTTTTTTTTTGGAGCAATGGTGGTGTATCTGATTTGCCGACAAGAATGAGTTTGCTTTTGACCTTAAAATTCTGCTTCTTTTTGTTCAAGTTATACGCCTGAATTCAGAAGTGCTTGCGTTTTCTTTCCAAATTTGTGGTCAATTTTGAAGTGAAGAAAGGATAATCTTGTAGAGCTTTGGATTTTTAGAGATTGATGATATATATATATATATATATATTAGCTACTTGAGCAATTTCCTAGTATAAAGCCAATGACAATTAGAAAGCTGACAACAGAAAATACAAATTAAAACCATATTATATTGAGAAAATTTGCTAGGTTTGCAGCATTCGTTATATGATACATGCTGAATTTTAATGCCACAAACTTAAAATCTTCTTTTTTCTTTTCAAATATGATGATCTCTGTTTGTTATTTGCCAGGTTTTCCGATGGAGCATTCAAGGCTGGCTTTTTTTAATATGTAATTGCAGCAAATAGTGGAAGAATGTAATGGTTTCATCAACAGAGGTGCTCCTATTGTCATTATGCATTGTTTTTTTAATATGCATGTATGGTTTGATTTTATACACCAAATTGGATCATCATTTTGTGCTTTCAACATATTAGATAGTAGCAGTATATAGTTGTTCGATGCATTGAATTGTTGTACCTTGCTTAGTAAAAGCCACTTTTGCTCTGGTAATAGCATAAGCCAAATTTTTAGGGCAAAACATATATAACATCATATATAAATGTCAAAAAACAAAGTAGAACTGCTCTCTCGCACTCTCGCCAGAATTTACAGCCTGCCATCAGCCATTTTGAACCAACCAAACACTCTCGATGAACAAAATCATTGAGGTGACAAAGTGATCAATGACAGTGTCAAGAGAGTCAGCACCTTGGAACGGTGCAAAGTACAAAAGAGGGCCTGCACTTCACACAAACTAATATCTGCTGCAAACTATCAAGATATGAAGGATCACCAAAAATTAGGGTTAGTGGAATCTACAATAAGAAGACATTTATTTAACCAATCTTGAACATTTCTTGCACAAAATACTCTTTTACATCAATTAAGATGTATAGTTTGTCATGAGGCAAACCACCAACAGTTTATTGGGGAGGCAAATACATACAGAAACAATATGTAACCCTGTAAAAGCTGTTGTTTCAATCAATCACTGTTTTTCAAAACAATCTGTACACAAATCGGATATAGAAGCCATCATTTTATAACAATTTACACAACGGGCCACATGGAAACCCTTTCAACATCTAGCAGTAGTCCTTGAGGTTTAATCTGAAGAGCCGGACTGATGGAGAGCAAGCTAATGAAGCAGCCTAGAGGAACCCTCGTACCAAACACATTGATTGATTCAAGTTTCCGGCATTTGTTCACAAGAACGAAAAGTCCATTTTCAGTAACATGACGACAGCTCCACAGGCCGATAGTCTGGAAAAGAAAAGTGGACATGAGATACATTTGTGAATTTAGTTCCAATATTTATTTGGGATGTTTCAAACCCATGATGCTCGGTTTGCAATGGAGCGAGCAACCTTAAAACAAAGTATGTGATTGCAATTCACAGTAAAATAAGCCATTCTGGTGGATTTAGAATGGGGGATATCTTGGGTGTTCAGATCACTGGGAAAATAAACCTAGAATAAATTTTTTATGTTCCAAACTCACCTTCAAATGTGGACAGCTATCTGCGATAGCAAACAAAGATTCATCTGTTATGAATGTACCGCCAATATTCAGGTGTTGCAAGGAAGAAGTTCTTGATATCTGTTTGAAAAGAACCAAATCAACTGAGAAATGCAAAGCACCTTTTTCTTAACAAATAGAACTATGTGAATTCAACATATCAATGCACTTCTGATGTAAAAGTGGATTGCTTAGTAAAATTTAAATCAACAATTGGTATTGGTAACAATCAAAGACTGAAAATGCAAATGAGAAACACGGCATTCATAAATAACGCAATTAATTAGAAGCCAAAAAAAAAACTCTGCACCAAGAGAAATCCTAGTAAGCAATCCCAGGAGAAAACCCATTTATTTCCATGGATCCAACTGCATAGTAAAGCAATCACGAGATTCGCCACATAATTGAAAAAATTTATTCAACTAAACATATATAGCAGTTGACATTGCAGAATGGCGAAACATATTATAGCCCAGTTGATTGGAACACAATGGCTAGTGTGGTTTGGTTTGGACAGAGTAATTAGCAGGAGAATGATCAAACATTTGGATGGCAAATACTGTTTTAAATTTGGATGAGATTAAAATTGGAGAGTGAATTAACAACACATACCAGATGAACAACACCTTTATCGGTGATCCCTGACATACCCCATAGGGATATGGAAGTGAGGTTGCTGACACATTTTGCTGCAGAGATTTGGTATAGTCCGATGTCCGTTATTTGGCAACCCCATCGGCTCCTTGAACTGAAAATACAACACCACAAATATTGATAAGGATTCGAAGCAGTTAAAATTTTAAAGTCTTGATAAAAAATACAAACACATGACTACACACAATTCTACATCATTTGTACATTGCAGAAACTTATCAGGGAACTATATCTATAGCTGAATTTGACAACAAAGTCTATATGTTCTAACATAACAGAACAACTCAATTTCCTGCAAATTTCTGTTTCAATAGGAATGCAAAAAAAAAAAAAAAAAAAAAAAAAAAAAAAAAAAAAAAAAAAAAATGAAACTGAAATGTGCCAACACCATCATACCCAATATATCAAACTTCTATTGACACCGCAATTATTTCATCCAGTAGTAAGTATGCAAATTAGATTGAAGCAAAAAAAATAAGACTTGTTAAACCAATTAGATAACCCCCAAAATTCTTTCAAAATAAGACTAAACCTTCCATTACAGAGGAAGATAAACAAAATTAAAGACTTCATCTTCAGCTTATCAAAAGTAATAAAACATATATACCCACACATGTATATATATACAGAGAGAGAGAGAGAGAGAGGGTTTTACATGTCGAGGTCCTTGAGGTTGTAAGCATGGAGAACAAGGCGAGTGGTGGAATCATCGTCCATTTTCCAACCAGTAAAGCTGAGTCTCTCTCTCTGAGCCAGAGACTGCTTCACCGCTTGCTTCCATTTCTTGCATACCCCACTCGCCCTTTAATTTTTCACACACACACACGCATACATACAAATACCATATTCAGCGAAATAGAATTAGCTTAAAAAGTGAAGAAGAAGAAGAAAAGAATAAAAACAACTAACTCTGCTAAATCTTTGAAGGAGGTGATAAGAAGGAATATATGAGCAAGAAGATCAGTCGGAAGTCGGTCAATCTCCGCCTCCTCGAACCCTCTCATGGCTTCTTCTCTGACCCAAAAACCCAAACAAACAAGAATTTGGGAAAAACACAGAGAGAGAGAGAGAGAGAGGCTTCAATGGCGTAAAATGTCGTAGAAAGAGTCCAACTTATGGTTTTTTCCATACAGACGGTACCAAACAAAATTAATTTGAGAGAGAGAGAGAGAGAGAGAGAGAGGGGATGTGGTCATGTTGTCATCATAATATATTACAGAAATCTCGGGTATGTTTGGTTTGTGTTCGAGAGATGTATTTTAGAGATAAAAAGTATAAAAAGTTGTTTGGTTTGATTTTTTTCAAAAGATATTTTGAAAAATTATTTTGAGAGTGAGTTTTGGAAAAAGTGATTGATCTGATGGGTGAGAGAGAGATTTGTTTAGAAAACTTGTTTGGTTTACAAGTTTTGAAAAAAAATTTTAGAAAAATTTATTTAATTTGATTACTTTTAAAAACTTATTTATAAAGAAAATTTCTCAAAATTTTTTCAGAAATAGATATCAAACGAACCCCTCATTTCTCTTCACATGACGGAGAGAGGGTTGTTGCTTTTTGGGAATAAATATTTTGCATCGTTTTGGGCCGTGGATAAAAAGTTAATTTTTTTGATTTTTTTAATTTATTTTTTTTTGAATAAAAAATATGAGATAATTTGACTAAAAATGAATTAAAAGTTAAAAAGTAATTTTTTACTATCTTTTCAAAAGACCTCTTTATTTAAAAAATTAAAAAGTAATTATATTATTTTTTATATTTTTTGTATACTTCTTCCGTTTCAAAATAATAATTCTTTTGAAGAATTTAATTTTTTTTATAGTACAATTATTATATTCTAAAAATATTAAGTTTTCATAATTAGCTTTTGATAGTGTATTTTTTTAGAAATATCAATTATCATAATTGTACTTTTTATGTTATTAATGAATTTAAAAAAAGAAAAAATAATAAATTCATATTATTTTATTTCTTAATTTTTGAAAAGAGACTAATATTTGAGACAATAAAAAATAAAATAAAAAACTAATATTTTGAGAGAATGAAGTATTTTTTTTTTTTGTAAAAAATTAAAAAATTATTAAAATAGTATATCTTCAAATGAGACTCTAATTTCATTTTGAATTTTTTTAAAAATATATAAAAAATAAAGAGATGACATAGTTTAAATAAATTAATTTTTTTTTAAATTGTTAAAATAGGCCTTCCAGAGTTGAGTTTTGGTTTGGTTTGCTTTGGGGCTTCTGGTTAGAGTAATTACGTTATTATGTAGTTTTCGTGTGTTGACTGAGTTGGCTACTCATCCCATTATACGTTATGCCAGGTGGGTTCTCTGCCTAATGTCGTCACCAGCCATGTTATTATATATATGTACATAAGATTACAACATAAAAATTTATTTCCCCACCCCCTTTGACCCCCTCTCTCTCTCATTGGTCACTTTTTCTTTTTCTTTTTCTTTTTTTTCCTGCTCCACCAATCACCCCTGCCACGTGGCAAAGGGGGGTGAGGGGGTGACCCCCAAAAGGAGATCCCAAGCATTATTCTTATACGTTATGCCAGGTGGGTTCTCTGCCTAATGTCGTCACCAGCCATGCTATTATATGTACATAAGATTACAACATAAAAATTTACCTGCGCTCCGTTTGGGAAGATGGATTTGAGATTTTTTTTTTTTTTAACCATTTTAGTTGTAAAAAATAAAATAAGTTTTTTAGTCGTAAAAAATAAAACATTACATCAAACTCAAAAAAAAGTCAAAAAAATCAAAAAATTATTTCCAAATCAAACTTTTTAACCCAGGTTAAAATAGTCAAAAAAATCAAAAAGCCAACCAATTTTCCAAACGAAGCCCTAGAGAATTACATCATGTACATTTAATTCTGGAGTAAAATATAAATATATATATTTTAATATATTATTTTTTCTCAAATTTGACAAAAATCATCTCATTTTTTAGATTTTTAATCACATACTCTTTTGTTAACCAATTGTTAACTCAAACTAATAATTTTTTTTATAGAAATATCTATATTAACATTTAAATTTAGACAATTTATTTATTTATTTATTTTTATCTCCCCTTCCTGCGGGTAAAAATTAATCAAAAAATTGAGAATTCATTTGAGATGTGAATTTTTAGTTAAAATATGAAATAAAACAAATTAAAATATTTAGAAATGACTTTTGTATTTTTATGGAAAAAAATGTGTAAAAATTGGAGAGATAATTTTTTGTATTGAACTTTTTGACTTTTTAATGACTTTTGGTTGTTTAGAAAATAAAGTTTTCAATCAAAAAATTAAAAAGTTACTATGAATTGTCAAATCATTATTTTTACTTTTTTTATATATTTTCTTATAAAATAAAAATAAATGTTTGATTGCAATTTAATCACACGTTCATATATGTAATTGTCCATTCTAAGGTGTAAGGTGTAAGTGGGTTGCACATGGTGTGCAACCTCAAAAAAGGTGTAAGTGTAAGGTTTAATTTTTTACAAAAGGTGTAAGTGTAAGGTGTAAGTGGGTTGCACATGGTGTGCAACCTCAAAAAAGGTGTAAGTGTAAGGTTTAATTTTTTACAAAAGGTGTAAGTGTAAAGTGTAAGTGTAAGGTATAAGGTGTAAGGTGTAAGTTGCACACCATAACCAAACCCCTATTTCACATGAATGTGAGATGTAAGAAGATTGTTTTGATTTTGTGGTCAATGTTCAACATTTTTTACTTACAATAATATAGGTGAAGGATTAATAAAGAATTAAAAAAATATTTTAAGTTATTCTTTCTCTAATTGCAATTTAATCACACGTTCATAGATGTAATTGTCCATTCCCTTCCCATAAATTATTTTATTTCAAATTCAAATTTTCATAATTTAATGAAAAATTTGTTTCTTTTAAGACTTTGTGTTGCCACATTTGGTGTGTGGAAGAGAGGACATAATGACGTTACTTGTAAGGACTGAATAGCTTTATTAAATATTTGAAAATTTAAGCTGTCATTTTGAGACAAATTTATATGATGCCTTAATTTAATTTTTATTCATTAAGGTTATGTTTGATTGGAAGGATTAAAGTATGGAATTGAGATTATTAATTCGTGGGCCCAATCATCCTATATTTGTTTTGACATTTTGGTTTAGGATTATTAATCCAATGAATAATTAATCCAACAAATTTATAGGATTATTAGTAATGAGGTAAGAGTGGGATAGTTAATACCACACTAATTTAATAGGATTATTAATACATCATTATTAGTATTGTGAATCAAATATGGCCTAGTTATAAAATTTTGAGAGAAAACTCACCACTGGCCAAGTAATAAATAATGTGGAATCATGTTTCAAGATCATAATCACTCTAAAAAATATATCATAATAAAAGTCGTGCTACGTAGCTCGAAAGAGCGTCCCCCTAATCCCCCGAAAATAAAAACGACGTCGTTTCGACGTTTTTTGATTTTTTTTTTTTTTCCAGAGAAAAAGAAGCAGACGCGGAGGAAGAGAAGAAGAAGAGAAGAAGAAAGAAAGAAGAAGAGAAGAAGAAGGGAAGAAGGGAAGAAGGCAGAGGCAGAGGCAGAGAAAGAAGGCAGAGGCGGAGGCGACGGCGGCCGGGCGGAGCTGCGACGATCGCAGAGCTGCGACGAAATCGGCAGAGCTGCAACGATCGGCGGAGCTCGACGATCGGACGATCGGTTCTCTCCCTCCCTCTCCCTCTCTCTCTCTCCCTCTCCCTCTTCCCCCTGCGTTTGAGCTCGGAAATGGTCAAAAATGGCAGAAAAAAAAAGAAAAAAAAAAGCCTAATGCCCAAAACGACTGGGCATTAGGGGGGCAAGTTTCGAGCTCTCAAACATTTTCCTCATAATAATTACTTGAGTTTATTATTGCTATTATTATTATTATTATTATTGCAATCAAAGATATATCATATATTTGGGTGTTGGTTTTAAGTTTTAAATCATGTTTATTCGTGAATACAATTAGAGCATGTTTGTTTTGAGGGATAAGAGGGTGGAATTGGACTATTAGTTCCACTAGACTAATAGTCCATTATTTGTTTGAAAAATTTTGCTCCGGACTAATAGTCCCCCCGGACCATTAGTCCCACAAACATGGGACTATTCTATCCCATGGAGGGGTGTGGGATAGAAACCATGGGATTGGTATCCTATGCGATTATTTTGTGAAATATCCATTTTACCCTCCATGCTATTACTTAGTGAACAATTAGAAAAGGGTAAAATAGTCTTTTGAACATTTATAAATTATTTTTTTTAGTGTTGTTAATTTAAAACTATATATTAAATAAAAAATTATAAATTATAAATTATAAATTAAATTAAATTAAAAATAATAAATTATAAATTATGGCCTTATAAATTAAATTTTTTTAGTGTTGTTGAAAATTTAATTTATATATTAAATAAAATTATTTTTTTATTGTCGTTATTTAAAATTATATATTAAATAAAAATATAAAATATAAAATATAAATTTAATTTAATTGAAAATAATAAATTAAAAATTGTGGCCTTATAAATTAAATTTTTTTAGTGTTGTTAAATTATAAATTATAGATTATAAGGGTAAAATAGTCTTTTAAATATTTATCCTTATCCAGTTCGTCTAACCAAACATTGGATTTACTAAAAATAGTTCAATCCAGACATCTAATCACATGACTAAACAAACATAGGATACAAATCCAATCCAACCAAATAGTCTCGGGATAATGTATCCCGGGACTAACAGTCCGATGGATTATAATTTTTAATCCGTCATCCGTCTACTGAATTGGCGGATTGAAAAAAATTAATCCGCATCCGTCCACCAGATTGACAGATACTGATTGAGCAGATTGGTGGATTTGTGGATGAATACGAATCGGTTTGGAGGTTTAAACTTTTATAAATTTTGAACATAATACAACAACTTATCATTTTTTTTTGGATAACAATCTAACTCAATATAACCAAAAGATTATCAAGTAAATTGTCAAATACCAATAATAAATACATATAAGAAAACCATGCATTATCAAAATTATTTTATTACTTTTTTTATATTCAAAAACTATTTAACTTATTTTTTTTTAAATGAAAAAAACTAAGCCTTATATTTTCCACACAAAAATACCAAATTTAACACTTGTCATTTGATAAAAGAATTTTTAAATTGAAAACACAATAGAATATTTAAACTCTTTTTCAATTGAAAACACAAACAGAATATCTAAATAAATTAAAAATACAAAATCTTACAAATTACTAGGGGTGCTCCCTGTTTAGCAGTTCGGTTGCGGCTAAAAGAATCTCAAATCCACTATCCGTCCAAAACTAGGCAGATTAATAAAAATCAATCCGCAACCGTCCGTTTGTCATCACGTATCCATTCAAAATACGACGAATCGATTATCGGTTTGAACGAATCGAAATATCGCTGTCCACCTCTAAATACAGCAATATCATATATTTAAAAAAATTGTTTATGAATTACTCAAAAAGTAAATTTATGGACTACATTCAATTTAAATGGAGTCCATGTCTTACTAAATTTAAATTTATGCATGTATCTTACTTTCAGAATAAATTTTTAGAGATAAAAATTCATTGTATATAACATTTTTATTCTCAATATTGTTCATCATGAGATTGAGAAGTAGGGGTGTTGTTCACGGTTCGTTTGCGGTCGAGTAGCCTCTAATTTGCCATTCGTTTGTCGAATTGATGAATTGGAAAAAATCAATCCGCACTCGTCTGTCGGATTGACGGATACGGATTGAGCGGATTAGCGAATTGGCGGATGGATGCGAATCAATTTGGCAATTTAAACTTTTACAAATTTTGAAAATAATATAATAATTTTTCCACATTTTATTTTTGAATAACAATCAAACTCAACATAACCAAAAGATTATCAAGTAAATTGTCAAATATCAATAATAAATATATATAAGGAAGCCATGCATTATCAAAACTATTTTATTACTTTTTTTATTCAAAAACTATTTAATTTGATTTTTTTTGTAAATGAAAAAATTTCACCTTATATTTTCCACACAAAAATACTAAATATCAATACTTGCCATTTGATAAAAGGATTTCTAAATTGAAAATACAACAGAATATGTAAACTTTTTTTTCAATTGAAAATACAAAGAGAATATTTAAACAAATTGAAAATATAAAATCTTACAAATTGTCAGGGGTGCTCACAATTTGGTAGTTTGGTTGCAGTCAAAATAACTTCAAATTCGTCATCCGTCCAAAACTAGGCGGATTGGAAAAAAGCAATCTGCAAATTGTCCGCTCGTCATCACGCATCCTTCCAAAATGTGACGGATCAGTTCGATTTGGTCAGTTTGAGTAGATCGAAATATCCGCTGCTTACCCCTGTTGAAAAGACATTATGAAGAGTTTTTAATATTAATAAAGAGGACTAAGTGACATGATGACTAAGAAAATAAAATCATGCTTAATACGTGAAGTATAAGTTTTGTATGGTTTTCAATAGATAATATTCAATGTATTTGATTTGAGTTTTTTGGATTAAATTTTTTGAAAATTAAGATTTTTGATTTTCGTTTTTTTTTGTTTTTTGTTTTTAGTGCATATTTTTAAAATTTTAAACTTTTTTTTTTACTTTTTTAGATAGACCTTACTTAGATGTATCTAAAAAGTAAAAAATTTGTGAAAAAATATTTTAAAAAATTAATAAATACATAAAAGTATTTAAAAAAATGTATTGAATTCTTGTTTTTTTTTTTTGTATTTTTGGTATTTAGTGAATTTGTGAAATGTTTTTTTTAGAATTTTTTTACTTTTTAGGTATATTTATATTAGGCTTGCATAAAAATTTAAAAAATTGCTTAAATATTAAAAAAAATTTAGTAAAAAAATAAAATAAAAAAGAAAATAAGAAAGTAGAATTTTCTGAAAGTGTTTTTAGAAAACTCTAACCAAGCAAAGTGATTAGGATTAAGAACAGAATTAGTGATGATATATTGGGTTGTTTTGGAAAGTAAGTTAAAAGTTAATTTTTTTTTTTTGTATTTTTTTAAAAACACAAGTTAAAAATAAAAAAGTGATATAAAAGAGTTATTTTTAGGACAAATTACATATACCTCCCTCAAGGTTTAACTAAATTACAAATACCCCTGAGGTTTCGGAAATTACAGATACCCCTGAGATTTATATTTTCATAACAAATTGCTCCCTGAGGTTTATATTTTCATAACAATTTGCTCCTTAATTTGTTATGTAAATAATATCTTCAGAGAGTCTCTGTAATTTGTCAAAGCTTAAGAATATCAGTAATTTTGCTAAACCTCGAAAGACATATGTAATTTGCCCTTACTTTTAAGAGAGGCCGTTGTAGGAATATTTGTACTATGTTGACCTTTTACACTTAGCCGAATGAAAGCTTAGATTGGAGCAAAAATTTTAAATATCAGTAATAATAATAAGGGTAAATTATATCATTGTATTTGTACCATTTGTTTTTATTAGAATTTATTCATTTTGGTCTCCCACCTTCTAATTGTAACAGTCTACCAATTTCAACTCAAGTTTAAATGTAATCCTCCTGTTATTCCATCATTTGAAATTTGAGCAACAAAGTAAATTTGAAACTAAAATTACTACTTGCAAATATGTTAGATTGTATTTGAATTGTGTATTTGTTGAGACTTGCAAAGCAAAAGAAGAAGAACATGAAGTAATAGATTTGTTTCTCTTTTTTTGGATAAGTAAGTCATATTATAACCAAAAAAGATAGATATACAATGAAGTTCAATACACATTATTTGTAAAGAGAACAAACATAAACATAGAAATAAACTACTCCCTCAAAAGAAACATACTAAGCCTGTAGACGACAAAAATACCAAACACAACAAAGGATTCAAAATTTCCCTCTAGCACTCTTTAAGTAATGAAGTTTCTCTTTGAGTTTTCTTCTGTTATCCTCCTTTGTAGTCTTTTCATTAATGGGATTACTTGTTTCTCTCTCTCTTCTTTTTTTTTTTTTATTTTTTTTTTTTTTTTTTTTTTTTTTTTTTTAAATTTAAAATCTAAACACAACTTTAAAATACATAAAATTGAAGGTGATTTCATGAATTTTTTGCACCTGCATCCTTGATCATCTTTCTCTTCTCAAACACTATTCTCTCTATGATTTACAATCTTACGTTTGAACGTCTTTAATAAAAATGAAAGTCAAATTAATCAATGCTTCGAGGGAGAAAAATTGGCTTCAGATCCTCTGCCACATTTCTCTATCCCATCTCCTCTACACATTTTAAAAACAACTATATGACTCCGGTTAAAACACTTTCAATATTAAAAAAGACAAACTTACAGCCACTGGCAAATATTATGGTTGGACAAGGAATCTGTAAAATTCATAATTTGATCCGGTCTAGTCTAATCTGATAGATTTAGATTAATTTTTTAAATTTATAATTCTGTTTCGGATTGAAAAATTAAAAATCCGTACCCCATAGACATGTTCCAAATTGAACATCACAGTTCTGGATTGAAACCAATCCGAATCGTATACAAAAATAGCTTATATTTATATTATACACTCTCCCGCATAATATCTTCTCTTATTTTATATAAAACCTAAACCTGCATAGTATCTTCTTTTATTAATTTTGTTTGTTTATTTTTAATTTTAATTTGTAATAGTTCAAATATTTATAGTTGTTTAAATTCTAGAATAATATGTCGCTATTATGGAAACACATGTTATTGTAGAACTAACATGACACTATGTTTATATTTTTATAAAATTAAGATGTTTTATATATTTTTTTGTTATTTAATTATGTAAATCCGTAATCTTAAACCGATCTAATCCATGTTTAAATAGATTGCTTCAGATTAGTTTTACGATTTAAATGGATTGAATTAGTTCCAATTTTTCAAGAACCAAAAATAATGAATTGGTCCTCATTTTTCCGCAATCCAGACTAATCCAGATCATAATCATCCCTAACAAATATAGAGAGAAACATGTGTTTTATAATCCGCGTCATATTTAAAGAAAATGTGTTTTAGGTTATTGAGAGAAACATGTGTTTTAGGTTATTGAGAGAATCCAAAGAAAATGTTTTAGGATGGTCCATTGATTCGAGTAACAAGGCTTTGGAAAGTTTGCCTCCAATTTTTCCTTGCATTGTCGTTTTTTCTAGGGTTACATACACTTGGTACTTTTGTATTACTTCGATCATTTCACTTTCAATCTGTACATAAATGGCATAACAATTTAAACAATGGGCCACATGGAAACCCTTCCAACATCTAGCAGTTGTCCTTGGGGTTTAATCTTAAGCGCTGGGCTGATGGTAAGCAACCTAATGAAGCATCCTGCAGGAACCCTTGTACCCCACACATTGATCGATTCAAGTTTGCGACATTTATTCACAAGAACGGAAAGTCCAGTTTCAGTTACATGCCGGCAGCTCCACAGGACGATAGTCTGGAGAAGAAAAGTGGACATGAGATAGATTGTAAATATATACTCACCATATTTCTTTGCAAATATGTGCAAGAAATAAATAATATGCAATATCATTATTGAAAATGTAATTGTGTGATGTGGTGGATTTAGAATGGGGGATATCTCGGGTGTCAAATCATTGCGAAAAAAATAAACCTAAGAATGAATTTTTTTCTTCCCAAACTCACCTTCAAATGTGGACAGCTCTCTGCGATGGCAAACAGAGATTCATCTGTTACGAATGTACCGCCAATATTCAGGTGTTGCAAGGAAGTTGTTCTTGAAATCTGTTAATAAAGAACCAAATCAATTGAGAAATGCAAAGAAGAAGAAGAAGAAGAAGAAGAAGAAGAAGAAGAAGAAGAAGAAAAGGTGGATATTAAAGTGAGAAAAGTTGATTGTTTAGTAAAATTTAACTTAATAAATGGAATTTGACATTCATAGATAATCCAGTCAATTAAGACCAAAGGAAAAAATCTCTGCACCAAGAGAAATCTCAGTAAGAAATCCCAGGAGTAAACTGTTTATTTCCATGGCTCCAAATGCATATTAAAGCAGTCACGAGACTTGCCACAGAATTGAAAATATTCTCCAATTGAAAATATAGCCCTTGACATTGCGGCATGGTGAAAAAGGTTTTACTTAGCCAATCCCACCTGATTGGGATACAAAGGCTTAGTTGATACAAATGAGACATAGGAAGTCACATTAGCTTAACAAAACCAAGACGCTTTCAAGCATGCCCTCAACAGAACAGAATGGTGCAAGCATTCATGTAGCCAACCCAACTTGATTGGGGGACACAAGGCTTAGTGTGATTTGGTTTGGAGATGGCATTAAAACATGAAGAGTGAAGGCAGGAAACAAATGTTCAAAATATATGTAGTCCTTTTCATAAGTTGGTATAAATGTTTAGTCCACTTTTGCAGCCATGAAATCTTAGATTTTGCCCTCTGGGTAATTCATAATTTTTAAAATTAGTCACCGGAAATTGTGTTCTCATCAGACTGCATCATCTGAAGAATAAATATCCCAAAAATAGTAGTCAATCAAACCTATTGAATGTTGTCATTTAAAAGAGCATATGTTTTCTAGAGACGACTATGATCATGTACCAGAGGAACAATGCCTTTATCGGTGATCCCTGGCATACCCCATACGGATATTGAAGTCAGGTTGCCGACGCATTTTGCTGAAGATATTTGGTATAGTCCAACATCTGTTATTTGGCAACCCCAACGGCTCCTTGAACTGAAAATACAACAACACAAATATGGAACCGGTAAACATAAGGAATCAAATCAGTAACTTTATCAAGGAACTATCTATGATAACAAAGTCTATATGTTCTAACAAAACCGAACAATTCAATTTCCTGAAATTTTCTGTTTTTAATAAGATGGCAATATAGACAGAACCAATGCAAAAATTTTAAAAAGGGGCAACTAACCAAACCCTAAAAAGGCTAAAATCAACAGCACACTGTTCCTATATGAAACTTTCATTGACAACCCAATCATTCACTCTAGTGACTATGCAAATTGAAACCAGTCAATTTTCACAATACAATGAACAAATTAGAAAACCCTAAAACAAAGAATCAACCCTTCAATAAACTTCAATTACTGAGGAACATAAACAAAATTCAAGAGTTCATCTTCACCTAATCAGAATCAGAAGTAATAAAACATACCCACATAGATAGACACAATTATATACATGTATGTATAGAGATAGAGTTAGAGAGAGAGAAGAGAGAGAAGGGTTTTACATGTCGAGCTCCTTGAGATTGTAAGCATGGAGAACGAGGCGAGCGGTGGGTTGATCGTCCATTTTCCAACCAGTAAAGCTCAGTCTCTCTCTCGAAGCCATAGATTGCTCCACAGCTTGTTTCCATTCCTTGCATACCACGCTGGCCCTATAATTTTCCACATACATACATAAGAACGAAAACAGATTAACCAAAATCGAATTAGCTCAAATTGTGAATGAAGATGAAAATAATTCAAACAACTAACTTTGCTAAATCCTTAAAGGAAGTCACTAGAACGAATATATGAGAAAGAAGATCAATCGGAAGTCGGTCAATCTCGGCCTCTTCGAACCCTCCCATGCCTTCAATGGAGCTTTCGACAGAGAGTCAGAACCAAATAAATAATTACAGAGAAAGGAGAGATCGAAAATGGAAGGTCTAAAATGGAAGAAACAGGGAGACAGACAGGCTGGGTTTGTAATATTTACGGATTTATTGCATCTGTAGTTAATATATATACATCGTGGGTCATCTGCCTAATATTTTCCCTGTTAATTTCAAGAAAAATGATAAGGTTTCATTTGGCTTGACAATGTCCATGTCTAATTTTATATTCAATTTTCTTTATTTGGTTCGAATAAGTAAAAATAGTTATTTTTTACAGAAAGGATAGTCACCTTATTTGATTTTCTGAAAATTTATTTATTTTTTATTTTTTATTTTTTGTTATTTTTTTTCAATATTTTAGATAAATTTTTACTTTTTAAATGTGCATAACTTAGGGGTGGTTTGAGATGATCTAAATAAGTGTACTTTTTTATTTTTTATGAAATATGAGTTGGATATGGGTTGAGTTTGAAGTGATGTGTTAGAGAGGTGATGTGACTTAAATAAGATGATGTGACTTAAATAGGATAGTGATTTTTTGAATTTTTTAGATCATGCCAAACAAGGCTTTAGATGCATCAAAAAAATAAAATATTTGTGAAAATTTGTTTTAAAATTTTAATAAATAACAAAAATAAAAAATATATTGAAATTTTATATTTTTTGTATTTGATGAATTTTCAAAGATTTTTTTCATAAATATTATACTTTTTAAGTATATTTAGATTTTAGAACCGTGACAAATTTGAGAGTCCTGAGCTGTAGTGACCCCAAAATGAACGGAACGGGAGCTCGTTCCTCCCGGGGCGTTCGGGGACGTCTACAAAAACAAAAAAAATCAATTTGATGAAAAGTGAGCTCAATCTTTTGACAAATAAGATAAGTATTTTTATTTTTTATTTTTTTGTATGGGTGAACTAGAGAATATATAAAGCTAAGGGAAGGTTTAAGAGTACAATAATTTAGGGTAAACAACCCTCTAGCATCATCAAATAGTTATGCTGAAATACAAGGAGAAAAATGATAATCAAAAAATCATTTTGTAATGTTGCTTCCTTAATTAGCAAGAATGTCCGCACAAATATTTGCTTCTCGATAGATATGATTAATTAATCATATCCCAAATTGTTGTATGAGGTACTTACTGAGAGGAAGATTTCATAATCTGGTTTTGGGTCGTGGTAATGGCCGGGCAAATTGGGCCAGGCAAGTTTGGGCCGAGCTGGGTTGAGCTAATTCGTGGTAGTGCGCTCGGTTAAGGCCCAAGTCCGATTTGGCAGGGGTTATTTCGGACTGCAGGCCTGGTTCACTTTATTTGCTCGCTGAGTTAGGTAGGTCAGATCCTCCGCAGGCCAATCCAACCGAGCAGGAGCTCGGTCATAGCAGAGGGCAGCTGAGTCGCAGTGGAAGTAATGCATGTCATAATGGAGGACGGCCGAGCTCGGTCATAACGGCGCACGGTTTAGAGCATTGCATGTCTCAAAAGTAGTGCGATCGTAGGAAGAGGGGCCGGCGCCGGGTTGCCTGTTCGCGCCAACGCCTTTTGGCAGTTTGGTTAGGTGATGTTTTAGCTGTATTTACGTTGACACATGGGAAAGTGGGATAGGAGAGCAGGTCCACGCGTCGCCAGGCGAATGGACGCAGAGACACGTGCAGAAGGTATATAAGCATGACTGAGCCCCTCATACTGAGGTATGGAACATCTTCTGGTGAGAGAAAAAGTGAGAGCAAAACTAACACATTGTCTTTCCTCTCTTCTCTCTCTTTCTCTAAGTGTGTGTTGACTTGACCGTCGGAGGGGTTTTCTGACAACGCACCACCGGGTAGCTCACCTTCGTTGTGTTCTCAGGTCGATCGGAGGAAGACGCTGCTTGGACACGAGGAGTACGGACAACGTCGGATATTTGGCGACCCAAACAATTGGCGCCGTCTGTGGGAATTTGAAATAGACACAACCTTGTCCTCCAAGCTCATCGGATCATCTTTCATGACGAACGACGAAGTACCATTGTCTGTTATCAACGGTATTACCCCAGAGTTAGTCCAATGGAGAGACGGACTTCCTGCCGTTCTGAACATGGCGGGCTTGGAGACCTCACTATGAGAACTCCCCAGAGATGCGAGAGATAAGCGCGCCAGAAGCACTGATCATTTGAGGAGTCCAGACGGGCACTGGTGGCGAAGAGAGTCGCACGCTCAATGCCTGGAGCACAAGTTGAGGGACCAAGATGCTGTTATCCGGAGAATGGAGGCGGAGATGGAAGCTTTCAAGTAGCAGGTCAAAGGGAAGGGTGCTGTTGGAGTGGGTGACCACAATGAGCACACCCAACCCCGCCTCTCAAGCATCCAGAACTAGCGACACACCTCATCTTTTTCCATCACCAGAAGCTATGGGGTTGGAGACTCTGACCCGCCGGCAGAGAAGTCATGCGCGCAAGATAGCAGTTACCGTCCCTCACGTCCGCCGACGATGTTAAGATATTCCTACTCCGTTCGTTCGGAGGACTTGAGAGACATCTTGGAAGAATGAGCGCGTCGGCAAGAGGCTCAGAGGGTGCCGGCGCTCCAGCAGTTATCCTATGGAGGTCGCGCCAGTGACGAGCTCGTAATGCCGCCACCCCGATCAGTTATACCTGTCCCTTTGGACAAAGATTTGGCAAGATTGAGCGCCACCCCTTTCTCTCTTGAAATAGAGACCACACCGCTTCCAGCGGGCTTTCACCAGCCCAAGTTTACGCTCTATGACGAAAAAACTGATCCGTACATACACGTAAGCCATTTCTGGCAGGTTATGGCTGGATACAGGCATAATGATGCTCTCATGTGCCTTATTTTTCCATCGAGTTTGGGCGAGCTATGGCTGGATACAGGCATAACGATGCTCTCAGCAATTGGCGGAAGCATTTGTGACTCGATTCAAAACCAACACCAAAACGCCAAAAGAAGTTGACCACCTCCTGAGTGTCAAGATGGAGTTAGACGACTCCTTCAAAGCATACAACGCCAGATATTAGGAAACTTTTAATGAGATCCTTGATTGCTCGACCAACCTGGCAATCACCCAATATAAGTGCGGTCTCCCGGTCGGACATAGACTGAGGGACTCGCTCACGATGAACCAACCAACTTCCATAGAGCTGTTGATGCAGCGCATCAACGAGTACATCCGAGTAGAAGACGATACGATTGTGTCCACCGCGAAGACAAATCCGGTGGCAACGGACAAAAGGATGGCTGAAAAAGTCCACACGGTGAGACATGAGACAAACCATCCAAATGACCGCGTTAGGGAATCAGACTGTGGTCCGAATCGTAGAAAATGGGGTAAAGGTCGTCGCAACGACCAAGCAGACTATTCCCGCGATGACGTGACAGATGCAAACAGAAAGTTGAACGCTCGGACGGGCATCACTACAGTTTTCAAGATCCCAATCTACTACATACTTAGTGAAATCCGCAACGAGGCTTACGTCCGGTTTCCCGTTAAGTTAGGCGATGAGCAGAAGGGCTTCAATTCGCGATACTACTACACATTTCATAGGGAGCGAGGGCACCGGACGGAGGACTGTTTGCCCCTGAAGCAACACTTGGAGGAGTTGGTCGCCACCGGAAACTTGGACCGTTACATCGACGGGGGCGTTAGGGCCACACACCATGCTCTGACTGTGCCAAGTGGTTTGGACGACCTAGAAACACCCCCCCAAGGAGTGGTTAATGTGATCCACGGTATAGTAGAGTCGGCCGAGTATGCGAGCTCCGAAGGATGATAAAAAAAACGGAACATATAAGGCAAGTTTTGTCAGTCCAGCCTGCGATCAAAAGAGACAAGATCGAAGAGAAAAATGTGCTTAACTTCTCAAGTGGGGATCTTGAGCGCATTTAAACGTTGCACAATGACACTTTAGTGGTCACCCTTCGCGTTAGGGACTTCGATGTTAAGCGCATTTTGATCGACCAAGGTAGTTCGGTCGAGATCATATACTACGACGCCTTCAAGCAGCTCAAGCTCAGGGATATAGATTTGGCTCCGGCAACCTTGCCGCTGGTTGGTTTTAACTCACAACCGGAGTGGCCAATGGAAAAGATAATCATACCGGTCAAAGTCGGATCCGTAGTCAAGTAGGTAAAGTTCTAGGTGTTAAAGGTGCCGTCCACATATAATCTGATCCTAGGTAAGGGGTGGCTTCATGCCATGCAAGCAGTGGCGTCGACCTACCACCAGGTCATGAGGTTCCCCTCAACTATGGGGGAAGTTGAGGAGATTTGGGGCGATCAAGTCATGGCTAAGTAGTGTTTCGTGGCAGTGAATGGGAGCCGAGTAGCCAAAGGCTTCGTGCAAATGATCGAAGGCCCGGAAGATCAAAGTGTCCTAGATGATGTGGGCACTGGGTTCGAGGAAAAAGCTGTTGAAGATTTGGTAAAGGTGCGGATCGGCATAGAGAATCCTGACAAGTTCTTTTTGCTAGGATCTAGCCTGACTACCCAAGAACGGACGAAGATGGTGGAGTTTTTGGTGGCGAATATCGTAGTATTTGCATGGACGCCATACGACATGCTTGGCATTGATCCAAGCTTTAATTGCCACCAACTCAATATCTTCCCGGACGCACGTCCTATCAATCAAAGAACGAGGAGATCATCCCTCCATCACGTCGAGGTAATTACGGAGGAAGTCAAAAACCTGCTGGAAGCGAGGGCAATCCAGGAAGTGCACTACCCTCAGTAGGTTTTAAATACGGTCGTGGTATCCAAGAAGAATGGAAAATGGCGAGTTTGCGTTGATTACAAGACGGTCAACCGAGATTGCCCTAAAGACAGTTTTCTTTTGCCTAGAATCGACCAGCTGGTGGATCTTACAACCGAAGACAACCGGCTCAGTTTCTTATGCCTATCACGGTTATCACCAAATCGCCGTGCATGAACCCGACCGCGAGATAACCTCTTTTACGACGCCGAGGGGATTGTTCTGCTATAGAGTCATACATTTTGGTTTGAAAAACGCCGGGGCGACTTTCTGGAAGATGGTGACAAAGATGTTCGCCTCTCTACTCAGTCGTACGATAGAGGCTTACATCGATGACATGGTTGTCAAAAGCAAACGTCAGGCCGACCACTTGACCGACCTAGCCGAGATGTTCGCTATTCTTAAACAACACAAACTACGCCTAA